CTTACCCAGGTTTGACTGTATATATATATATATATATATATTTCGTGTGTTTGTCACTAAACCCCTCCTAAACGGCTGGGTCGACTTGAATGAATTTTTGCAGGACAACGTCTGTCGGGTCAAGTATCATTAAAATGTAGTCGAAGTCTACAAAGATATGAGTTGTAATGTCTCAGTTGTTTACAGTACAACGGCTACCCCGCCCTTCGAACCGAAACGAATTACTGCTTCACGGCAGAAATAGACAGGTTGGTCTTAAAACAAGTATTTAAAATACATTGAAATTAATATTTTTAATTGGAACAGTGGTTGGTACGTTACACTTACACATTAGATGGGGCCAGTGATAAGCGTGTAAGTCGATTGCTTCCGAAGGCCTTCCAGGTTATGCGGGTTAAAAAGCCCCATGTGCGACAATCTCTCGACGTGATAGAAACCACGTTCTCTCGGTGCGGTAGGCAATTATATCCACATTTCTGTGCGTATAGGTATATTAAAAAACGGACTTTTCTGAGGGCGATCAGGTCTCATACGCATTACAAAGAAGGACAAGGCTTTACTTCGAATAGACCTCTTGCTTCGAAAAGGAACTGGCTGAAAATCTCTCAAAAATACTCCCGCAGTCAACGTGTTAAGTTTGCAATCATATTTTTTCCGATTCAACTTTGTTTAACGAATCATTTCGTTCAAGGTCTTCCTTGTATTCACGCATTTCTGTAAGCTCGTCAATTGTTAGATTTAATAAGAAATATTAAGTAACTGGGAGCAAACCACGCACGGTTATCCGATCCCAAATTAGGATTTCCCGTGTTATGGGTATCCGATTTATGAATGAGATATTACTGATGGCCCGGAGGCCTTTCCAGTTTCACCAGGACAGGTGGGCGAGCCTAGTTTCAGCCAGGAGGGGTGGGATTTGCTAACAGCTGTCCGAGCATCTCCAAGGAGACCTAATAACTCAAGAGTAGCTACTTCGCGAATGAATCTACTACCAGATCAGAATCGCGGCCCGCTAAGAAGATCCGGCGAGAAACTCACTGGACTTGAGTACCAGAGACTGACATATATACAAACGTTTAAATATACTAGGTGTTAGGAGACCGCTTCCGAAAACAAGACACGATAGTAATAATGATACGCTCCATCATGTGAGTACAGCAAAATGAAACGATAGTTTCATAAAAAATACATTACTTTACTAAAAAAAAACAGTTAAGAAAAACTAACAACATACACTTTTATAGAAAATTCAACTAAAAAATAGAAAATGAATTTGAATTAAAAATAGTGTAAGAAAAAATGATTTCATTGTAAAAAAAAGCGTGGGGTGCAAAAGCATATTTTTGTAGTTTTTTTAAACTATTATTTATTTTTAATTTTTTAGTTGAATTTCAATTTTTTCAATATTTTTTTTAATGTTGAATTGAGTCGACTATTATCAAAGCCGGCAATGTGACTTTTGGACAATTACTGGTAAATCAGAAAAACGAATTATTGACTTTGTATTCCATTGGCAGTCACAAAACTCTTCTAAACGACATCTTAGATAAATAACAGGTTAAGTATTAACCTTTATTTAATGCAGGGTTTGAACCGTATTCTTTGAAGGAGACGATTATATTCAAATCAATCTGTATTGACATATCAATAACATTTTTTTGTCCAAATGCACAGATTGCCACCTTTGATAATAGACGACTCAATCGTCATCGGTCCTTAATAAGTATACTAAATTTCGAGTTAATCCGACGTTTTGAAGGGGGTCAAAATCATGTTCAAAGATTCCGTTACATACTAACATACATACGTCTGAACCTAATAAAAGCGTATTAAAAAAAAAAAACAATGAAACAGTAAATCAAAAACAACTTTTTTTTTTTTTTTTTTTATGATTGAAAGTTTACTGGTGGCCCGAAGGCCTTTCCAGTTTCACCAGGACAGGTGGGCGAGCAAAGGCTCAGCCAAGAGGGGTGGGATTTGCTAACAACTGCCCGAGCGCCTCCGAAGGAGACCTAACAACTCAAGAGCAATTGTTTCGCGAATGAATCTACTACCGGATCGGAANTTTGTCGGCAGATGTACCACGAACACAGAAATAACGAAAGGAAACAAAACAAATAAAAACTTCCAGGAAAAAACACTTGGTCGGCAGATGTACCACGAACACAGGCCGCGCGAACAATGGCCGGGCTAACAAAAGCCGGGCGAACAAAGACCGGGCGATCGAGTGGTCGATGGGCACGTCCGCACGTGACGGGTGCCTCTATCGGAATGGCAAAAACAACTGGTGCTCGCTCGGATCAACGAAAAAAATTAGGGTCAATATTTTTTTTTTCCCCTTCATCAAAGTGTCCTTAGCACTAGCGTCTGTCTTCGTTTTCGGAAGTGTCTCCTAACACCCATTAAACATGTATAGATGAGTCGACTATTATCAAAGGCGGCAATGTGACTTTTGGACAGTTATTGGTAAATCAGAAAAACGAATTATTGACTTTGTATTCCATTGGCAGTTACAAAACTCTTCTGAACGACATCTTAGATAAATAACAGGTTAAGTATTAACCTTTATTTAATGCAGGTTTTGAACCGTATTCTTTGAAGGAGACGATTATATTCAAATCAATCTGTATTGACATATCAATAACATGTTTTTGTCCAAATGCACAGATTGCCACCTTTAATAATAGATGACTCAGATAATTACTCAGACGAAAAGCAAATAAACCTGTTCATTATACGATGTTTGCCCGATGCGGAAATCGAACCCACGACCTTCAGCATAACAGTCAGTCAAGCTCTTGATCGTGTGAATCCTTGCAAATTTTCGAACATTATCGACTTAATCATCATCATCATCATCCACTGCAACTTAATTCTTTGGCAATACGCACCACTTCTTCAATTATACTGTTAATTCGTTTAGATTTAGGTCAACCTTTCCCAAAGTGGCCGGATTGTGGGCGCTGCAGGCCTAAAAGGGGTACGGTAAGAGACCCAGAAAAAAAGGGGGTGTTATGTAGTGGCTCAGGAGGCGATTAGTAATTTAATCTAGGATGACTCTTAGACACCGACTGAGCTCTCGCTATAGGTAGTGGTATTTAACCTTTCACGTAGGTGAAAAAATGGGGGCGCTAAAAAATAATTTATTCTCAAAGTGGGCAGTACACAAAATGAGTTTGGGAGCCCCTAGTTTAGGTTCTGCGTGTTTAGTGCGAGTTCTTCTAATTCTCGATCTCGTAAAAGTTAACTCGGATTTAAATAGAGTTCGACAGCTTCCCTTCGTTTGCCGCTAGGGGCGCTGTTCCAGCTCCATACAAAGTTGAGTTAACTTTTACGCGATCGAGAAGTTAAAGAACACGCACTAAGCACACTGAGGGCGCCGTACGAGGTGTTCGAATCAGTCGTTAACGAAACACTAATAGGGCGGGAGAGCAGATGCTCGATGGCCATCGAAAAGAAAAACCAGGTATCTCCGAATTTGTGTACAACAGGGTAGCGCAATGTTATGATACTCCTGTGGTCTCTGACCCGATTTCATCATCACCTTTCCTGAATAACATCAGCACTCATGATCCTTAGAGAGCAATGCCTTCATCCCCAATCCGTGATATCTTTTCACAAATAAAACACATAAATAAAACTCAAACATCTCAATTTAATAATCACAAAAACAAAAGCAACACTAAAACAACTAAATAAATAATTAATAAACGCATTACGTGTGTAATTAAAATTCATTAAATAAAAACAAATACGTGTGCTGTTTGTTCGACATTTCTTTTGCGCACAACTTTCATTGTCAAAGTCACCCTTTGACAATTACGGCTGTCAGAGTGACAGCTCACGTCAACAACAAGTCGAATTTATCTCAGGGTCGAAAAATGGAAAACAAAACATTTGCAAAAAACACTTTCATACGAATTCGTGTGTACTTCCCTCTAGACTATGATTTTAGTCAATTATTTGAAGAATTGTTATCGTTAATGTGGTCGCTTTGATATATACAAACCATTCTTGTTTCTTAACTCCACAGCTGTAGCTTTGAAAATGTTTACATTATAAAACATTAAGCCTTTAATTTTAAGAGGTAATGAATAACTCATAAATATATAAACAGCTTCGGCGAGTGAAACTCTCACCTAATAAAAACAGAAACGAGTTTAAAAACAAATCCTTAGTCCGCAAACAGATTTGGATCTCCGAAAATAACTCAATGGTATTGTCACAACTAACGGCATACAAGTTGAGTCCGTAGGCTACGTAAATGTCGCTCGTGCTCGCGGGGACAAAATAGGATTACCTACTTGGGCTTACAACAGATTGATAACTATTAAGTGTGACTTTACTATGAGTTATGTCTAAATTCAAGGTCACAGACTTTCAAACTGAAATCATTACATATATACTCTTCATTATTCACTGCTACTAAAATCAATTAATTACTGGACCAGTTCCTGATTAGTTTGTCTTTAAATAATTGATCTAAAAACAAATATGTTCTCGAGTTAAATACAAAAATATAAACCACACAGGAATCCTTTATAAAGTATTTTTTCCAAGACACAGTCCTCAGTTTCCTCCACATTTCGACAGATATGATAATACATCAAAACTTCATTTATAAAAATTTAATACCATGTATTAATACTATACAAAAGAAGCGTTATATTATTCCGTTTCTGATTAAATTTTCTAATCACATTTTTGTTTGATACATTAATTATGCTATGTCATTTTAGACATTCTAATCACATATTTTTTTAAGATAAGAGCACAGTCATAAACATTTTATATTGTAACTTTATATTTCGATGCCTCCAATGAACACTACTCTAACTCAAAATTTTGAAATTTTCGTTTTTCACGCAAATCGCTTCACTATGTTAAAAGTATTACAAGTAATCATTATTGATGGGGTTCGAAGCAAGACTAAATCAGCTAGTTACACAAAAAAACCATAAATATATCTGCAATAATAAATATTTTATCAACTTTTTTCATTTAAACGCTCCTCCTGTAAATCTACGAATTTGGAGTTAGCATAGTGTTCATTGGAGGCATCGATTTGAGGGTTGAAAGGCAATTTTGTTTAAACAATATTTGACAGGAGAGAGGAGGAGAAGTAAAAATTTGGAAAACATTTCTTGGGCTATTTGAATGGTGTAAACTTAATTGAAGTTTAATTAAAAACATCAAATTGTTGATACTAATACCGAATAAAACGCACCTTTTAATTACAAAGATAAATGTCGCGTTTTAATCAAAATGGAGCTTAAACCGAATAGCATTACACCCTTTGATATAGTTAATATTTTATAGTACTACTGTATTAGAATTTACCAGCTGGACCTGCCCTCGTTTTCAACCCATCATACAGCCCGTATACAAGATCTAACATTTACGGGAGGAACTTTTACCAAAAAGAAATCACCTATATCCAAATTGGCAAAAACGAAACACTATGTACCATTTCCTCTTCTGTTTGTTGAAGCTATTAATGACTTAACAAAAAAAAAATGATAAACATGAAATTAATCTAAGTCTTATCTCACGGACACATGATTAAAGTCGGATTTTGATTACTGGGTGAAGAATACTAGTTGTGCTTGATCTTCAATTTCTGAGTAGTACGGCTCCACTGTACTCGCAGAAATCAGACCAACGACTTGACAATCATCAGGTCCACGTCCTTAAATAATCCATCATCCCACCCTCGAGTTGTTAGACGTCTAGTTGATGCAACATTGTGATGGATCCTGTGCCGCTGGACCGAAGCTCTGAGGTACCGGTCCTATATCCCCGACCAGCTCAGTGGGAGGCTGGCCTAGGTCTTGCATCTACGGTGGAAATACGTTTCAATCAAAATGGGTGACTCACGACACAACTGCTATTAACAGGTTACAGGGCCAAAGATATCATAGACATTATAATAATCACTGAGATATTGATTTGAGATTTGAAAATTTTATCTTTTTTTTTTATTGCCCAAGCAGGCAGACGAGCATACGGCCCACATGATGGTAAGTGGTTACCGTCGCTCATGGACGTCAGCAATGCCAGGGGCAGAGCCAAGCTGCTGCCGCTAAGAGATTTAGTATAAGCAATGGCAAGTATAGGTAGAATAGTACACACTCATGCAGCAGTACACAGTTTAGGAAGTAAGTGACACCACACATTGTTATTGCCATGTTGATCCTAAGCATCAGCTGATTGTTCATTGTGTTACATTGCGTGCAGAAATTAAGAATAGAACACCTATTTAAGCCAGAATCTTGCCATAAGAAAAGTAAAAAATGAAGTAATCCATAGAGCTAAAGCTTACCACTGTATAAGATTGAAAGCCCATCCCTATAACCTTGCTAAGCATTTAATGGTCATCCAAATGACTATAAGAAGAGTGCCTCAAGATCTACTAGATCTACTGTAGAATATGGTTGATCGAGCTCACGCCCCCCCTGATGTTAAGCGGTTACCGGAGCCCATAAACATCTACAACGTAAACTCCGCCACCTAACTTGAGACATGAGTTGTAAAGGCTCACTTTTAACAGTACGACTGCCTCGCCCTTCAAACCGAAACACATTACTGTTTCACGGCAGAAATAGGTGGTACCTACCCGTGCGGACTCACAAGACGTCTTACCACTATTATAAGTGTATCATTGATGAGGATATTTAGTGTTCTTTAGTTCTCATTCATTCCTACCACAGGAAATCCTCACTGGAGCCAATCATACGCAGATACGCTTCATAGGTTCAGAAGTTTCTATCCTAACAGACCATCGTTTAGACATTAATAATCAAACATACCTTCTGCATCAACTCCAACACTTTCTCGAAGCGTTTTCTCTTAACTTCTTCACTGTCACTATCCAATTCGTTCTCGAGTTCAGCACATACTTGCTGCATTAACGTTTGCTGTTTTTCGAATCTGGGAAACAGTTGTTTTTTTAGTCGTCAGATTTGTAATTCTTTCCAGTGCCTAGTATGATGAGCCTAAGGTGTACTTCATTTCTTTCCATGGATGTCGACCAAGGTGACTAAGAAATTTACTGCAGAATAAGCAGCAGCATTCTCCAAGTATTATACCAACGCACTGGAATCAAGCACCGACATCTTCTGGTACTATTGTGGGTTTGTGAAGTCCTGTAGTGCTATTTATTTCTGTTGCAATATCATGATGACTGTGGGTTTTGATTTGAAGGAAAACCGCCTGTACAATACAATTGACAATTCGACCTCAAGTCTCAAGGCGGACAGTAAGGATCCGAATAACGACCATGACCGCTCTGACAAGAGTGATACAACAAAGAAGAAGTCTGCTAGTTATATATCTCATTCCTACAATGAAGTCCTCTGCAGCTTTGTACTGACCTGATCTGCAGTTTCAGGTTGGTGGCTTGATTTAAGCACTCATTACCAGGTGCCACCTAAAAGCTAAGCTCGCTTTGATACAGCAAAAACATAAAACTATTCACCTTTCGTATTCGCTTTGTTCAATCTTTGCCTTGTTCTCGTTCAACCAACTTGGATATTTGTCGACTAGCTCCTTCAAAGATGGGTATAAAACTTCTTTCGATAAGAGCGACTGCATCATCCCCTGCATGAAGGGCAGGAACATGTTTCCTTCCTGAAAAATACTAATATATTACATCTCAGCATCACTTATAACCCTTGTTTTGTCTATTCTCCATTGACTTTTCTAATCTTTTTTTTTATCGGCCTTGTAGGCAGACGAGCATACATCCCACCTGATGACGAGTGGTTACCGTCGCCCATGGACTTCAGCAATGCGAGGGGTAGAGCCAAGCCGCTGTCTACCAATTTATTATTATTACCGACTTATGATTATGTATAATGTATTTTTTATTTATGCAGATATAATTTCTTTTAATAAAAAATTGAAGTCTACAAAAAAGGACGGAAACACACACATAGGCACAGATCGGAAATAATGATTATATTTACAAAATTGAGAACATCACCCATTCTGACAATTGTAATTTATAATTTCTATATTCTTTGATATTTGTTTGCTTTTACAACTAAACGGAAAAATCTACGGTACGCCATGGAACATACATAAATATTAATTAATAAATAATTACCTGGCCCCCTTCACCTAAATTGAAATTATTAAACATGTTCGCTAGATCTTGTTCTGAGAAAGGCGTCTGAAGGTTCTCAGAGTTGGAGTTCAAATTCTGTAATGTCTGCGAAATGGCTGCCGAGACCTAAAAAGAAAAGATACTATGAAGATTATGAATGATAATATTTTCTTCTTGTTCACAATACGACAAAAATTACAGTATTATCGAAGTTGTTCTACACTGCTGTAGACACAAAACTCTTCTCATACACATACTATTTAGTATGTTATTCAATTATCATAAGAGATCTATTTTATTGTTATTACACATACTGTCTGCAATGGACCAATCAAGTCAAGTCAACAGTTGGCGGTTGTTTACATGAGTGTACCAGGCTCACCACAAGCCGGGAGAAATGGCGATTGCTCGTGAGACACAAAACATCTGCCCACAGCAATGATGGTGAATGATGACCACGACCACCCTCACACAATTGGTTTACTGGTGGTAGGACGTTTTGTGAGTCCGCGCGGGTAGGTACCACCACCCTGCCTATTTCTGCCGTGAAGCAGTAATCCGTTTCGGTTCGAAGGGTCTAACTATACTGAGATCTTAGAACTTATATCTCAAGGTGGATGGCGCATTTACGTTGTAGATATCTATGGGCTCCAGCAACCACTTAACACAAGGTGAGCTGTAAGCTCGTCCACCAATCTAAGCAATAAAAAAAAACAGAAGTCTGCCAGTTATATCTCACACGCCTACAATCAAGTCTTCTGTACCGACCTGATCTGCCTTCGGTACTGCCGTGTCATCTGTCTTTGGTTCTGTTTCACTCGATTCACCTTGCTTTAACACCTGTGATGCTGCTTCTGAAAGTATAAATATAATAATAATTTATAATAATAATTGATAATAACAAAAATTTATAATATTATTATATACCCTAAAAGTATGATCTCAGATATTCCTTTTGTAGTGTATTAATAATTAGTGTGGGTACTTATTTTTACGTTTAAATTAGATACAGAAGTCCCACTCCTTATGATAAAATTAATAAGCACCCTAATATTATATATCCTCTAAGCAGCAACAAATGCAAAACTTCTAACTTTAATTGGTTGTAAAATTGTAACTATAAGGATGCTGAAATTTTATTAAATAACTTTTAATATTTTTTATTACACCCACACACACCCTCTTACACTCACTCATGCTCACACTCATTACACACAGGGGGTACATTAATACATTCATTTCAATACTTTTGTTAATTCATGAATATTGGTTTAATTTTTGTCTAGTAATGTTGTATTTTTTTGTGTAAGTATATGAAGTAAAGATACAGGAAGTAGAGATACAGGTTTTATCACTTAGTTCCAGTACAGGAAGATTATGATTTTGTTTCTACATACTTAAATTGCTAACAATAAAAAAAAAGATCTGAAATGACTTGTTACTCAACATATTATGTGTTTTAGGTTGTAATTTACTCAATAAAATAATAAAACATAGTACATACTGGTCTTGTTACTTTTCAAAATGGAGCACATCAGATTATAATCAGTTCTATAAGACTGATGAGACATTTCAAAACTGTGTAAGTAATAGCATATTGATTCACACTGAATGTGTAGTTAATTGGCAGAGAAAAACTATTAAATTTACAAAAATTTAATTCAAATTTTCTGTTTTATAATTAACATAATACAATTCTATTTGATTTTTGCAAAAACAAAATTAGCCATTGTATGTACCATCTGATGTCGTAATATAGTTAACTATGTGAGCACATACCTAAATTATTATTTGATTGGGCCGAGGGAAATCTACTTAAACACCTGTATTCATGTTGAAGAACTTGTATATTTACTTCCATTACATTTGAGACTAATTATTGGTATTAAAATGGTGTACTCACCAGCCATTTTGTTGAAAGTTAATGCAATTTGTTCTTGTGTTATCTGATCCTCTGAAAACGAAAGATTGACATTCGATAAATACAAGACTATACAACTATTTCATCCCATTCATGAACATAATATTATCAGCTTTGAGCTTGAAGAGAACTTGGTTGTTCTTCTATCTGATGATAGGCTCTGTAACTATAGGGATTTTTATGGGGAATTACGAGTTCGAATCCAGAGGGGACTGAGAAATGGCTATCATATCCCAGGAGGTGAGCAAGTGCATATCGGCGGGAGAAAGTGGAAATGTCGTCACTTGCATTTTGGGCTAAACGACTTTGTACCTTATCATATAACACATATAAGCTCTAATACAAAATTGGTCTAACAATTCCGCTTTCTTCCTTCGATATGTATATAATGATATCGAGTACTTCAGTGAAGTTTGAAGTCGCCGTGGCCTAAAGGATAAGACGTCCGGAGCATTCTGTTGAGTGATACACCGGTGTTCGAATCCCGCAGGAGGGTACCAATTTTTCTAATGAAATACGTACTCGACTCCGTTCGCGTGGAATAGTTACTTTGGCATAACTCTAAATTTTATCCCCACTTCATTTACGTAGAAAGTGAAAATATTTTTGAATTATAGAATGTTAAGGAGCTATTTAAACCCCTATTTTGAAACATTCTTTATTGGTGCTCCACTTGTATCGGCCTTACCGTGATGTTATGTAGCCTATAACCTTCTTCAATAAACGGGTTATGTAACACTGAAAGAAATTTTCAAATCAGACCAGTAGTTCCTGAGATTAACGCGTTCAAACAAACAAACTCTTCAGCTTGATAATATTAGTATAGATTGTATTATCATTGGTCCTTGATAAGTGTGTGAAGTTTTAATTAAATTGGACACTTTAAAATCGGTGAATATCACATAAAAAATATATCATATACATACTATGGTATGCCAATTAAAGAGTGTCAAAATAAGCCGCAGATTTAATGTTGATAATAATCTGATTGATTGATATTGTATATAGGATAGGTACTTGTTTGCCTTGTTTGGCTTCAGCTACAACATTCCTTTCATGAAATCCTCAACTTAACGACCTTTTTCCTCCCAAATTCTATTCACTTTTTTTTTAAGATAGGCATTATCCATCCTACATAAGCCTAAGCAATTCTGCTGACAAATTTCTGTGGCAGGGGATCTCAAGGGTGGATCAGCCATTACAACTGAGGCTTAGAAAATGTTTAAAATGAGTGATTGAAATTGTTTTTTTTATTTTTTTTTTATTGCTTAGATGGGTGGACAAGCTCACAGCCCACATGGTGTTAAGTGGTTACTGGAGCCCATAGACATCTACAACGTAAAATGCGCCACCCACCTTGAGATATAAGTTCTAAGGTCTCAAGTATAGTTATAACGGCTGCCCTACCCTTCAAACCGAAACGCATTACTGTTTCACGGCAGAAATAGGCAGGGTGGTGGTATCTACCCGCGCGTACTCACAAGAGGTCCTACCACTAGTGAAAATTGTATATGTGGTTTGTTATTTGTTGTTCGTATTCACGGGATATTTTCATACCGAATATACAAAAGACAAACACTCCATTTCAACAATACATATTATTATACTTAATGTGTACAATATTAAAATATAAACCAAAAGTAAAGTAAGCAACGCTAGGCACTGGAAGATACGAATTAAAATTAAAATTACGTTTTAACATTCAACTTAAATCGACGCGCGCGCGAATCTTGCTGCATGACGTCACGGGACACCTGCGCGTTCAGGACATAGACCTTACTTCATTGGTTCAGGAGCTCCGATCGCGTCCGAGGACGCCCGAGTGCGACCGAATGTTGCATGCTACATATATGAAGCAGTGTTTCCACAACGAGGGGACATTCCCCATTTGAGGGGAAATTAGCGTCCATAGGGGGAGAAAAAGAGAAGACATTAAAAGGGGAAATTCCGGGAAATCATGGGTAAAACCTAAAATCGATAAAGACCTTTTTCTTAGTTACTACACTAGGGCCAAAAGTAAAAACTACAGCAGAAAAAATTTTGAGGGGAAAAAAGGCCTGAGAATGGGAAATTTGAATTGAGGCGTGGGGAAAGGAAATCATTAAAGTGGAAACACTGATATGAAGTCCACTAGCCACTTGAAGCTAGATGGAACCTGGCGCACTAATTGACGTACCTGGCACTCCACTGAAACTGCCTAGGATAGCTGCCATGTTGCTCTCAAACTGAGCAGCTGCTTCTTTGATAAATTCCTCGCCCCACATGTTCTGCATTGCTTCGCCACCATCAGGAGTGGTATCGTTTGGCTTATCATCTTTCTTCTTTGTCATATCCTGAAGTGCACCTGGAATAAATTTACACCCTGAGTGACAGTTTTTTAGTATGACTTTCTGTGACTATTAATCTATTGAGGCCAGGTTGGTTAGAGTGATATTTTGTTAGTTATATTTTCTAGATTATGAAAATACCGAAAAACTAATAATATGTAGCAGTTTTATCTTTTAGATATATGTAAATCTAATTTTTAAAATAAAATTTTAAATGTTAAGAGTATAACCAAAAATGAATCAGGTAAAAGATACACTGACAGAAGAACAACTCCTCTCTATGGCAAGCCACAATAGAAATGTCACTTGAGTAAATAACCCATAGAGTTGACAACAGGCCTGTGTTGTAAAACTCACACCAAAATCCTATGCAGCATGATAGGAGGATATGTGCCAGTCTCCATTACATGGGTTGAAGGCAAGCGGAAGACAGTTTGATAGAGTGGTAGGTTAGGTTTTTTTTTCATTGCTTAGAGGGTGGACGAGCTCACAGCCCACCTGGCCACCTGGCCCTTCACGGCAGATATAGGCGGGGTGGTGATACCTACCCATGCGGATGATGATCATCATTATCAAATTAGGAAATATCATGAATCATGATATTTCCTAATTTTAGAGGATGAAGAGAAGATAGTAAAGTGAGAGCAGCGTGCAATAACCATGAGGTCCAGTAATCAAGTGTACTCATCTTAAGGAGTACAAAACAGCAATAAGCTAGCTATTATTACAGAAGATAAGATATTTTCAGAAATTAATAAAATTTAACAAAAAAATTGTCATTTGATGAATAAATGAAAACTAATGATAGTGTTAATTAATTACGCTCAACATTATTTTATCTTGATTACGTCTAATCAATATTGCTAAACGCAATAAGAAAAATACGGAACCTTTTTTTTCGAGTTTCAGGATTTATCATCAGTTTTACATTTTAAAAATAAAAACTTTCATACGCGGTTACTTAAATAGATTAAAGAAATATTAAAGGCGTTGATAACTAACAAAGAAGACATTAACAGAGAAAACAAACAAAATTTGCATGCACTTAGACCGTAGGTTATTGTGTAATGGAAAATCAACACGATGAAATGTAATCAAGATTTAACAACTTACTGTTCAATAAATCGTCTAATTCAGGATCTTGATCGTTTTTGGATGCGTTCTTATTGTCAGACATGTTTAATCGGTAATAATTAAAATAAATTACAATAGAAAATTAGTTCAGAAAAATTTTCACGTTGAGTGACAAATTTGACAATAGAAATTTCAAAGGTTGAAATGAGCATGAATTTTGAGTGATCGAACTAGCTCATAGATTATACACTTATGAACTATAGCTAATGAATGGGTTTTTTCCCTGTGAAAAGACAATAAAGGCGTTTTGAAAAGGTTTTGGCACTAAGAAACAGATCGATTTTAAGTGAATTTACTACAAAATCTTCGCTGACCAGTAGAAATGAAATACAATTTTAATAAAAAAATATGTATTTTACTCTATACATGAAAATAAAATTAATGAATATCGATGATTAAATTTCGATAAAACGGTGCATTTCCAATAGACATTGCAAAAGCAAAACGTTTGACTCATTCATTTGTTTGTTGTCTTTCTATCATACGTAATGACTATAAGAAAAAAAGAGACAAAAAATATTTCTAAGATTATTTCGTTGACCTTGAAGTCATATGACTTCACTGAAGGTAACTAATTTAAGCGGGAATTTTAAAACCCGAACCATGAGTTTCTTAGGTTACATTAAAAAATCTATAATATTTAAAATATTGTTTGATTGTAATACATAATTCTATTTTCATTTTTTTTTGCTTTTGTTGTCTTGGAATACTTACCCTAAGCTTTTCGGTATTTCGATCTCTCATTCGAAATAAAATAAATGGAAATGAGACAAATATTTAACAAACTGGCTTGAATAAAAAAAAAACTTAGTTCGAAAAGTGACATATGTTTTGAAACTTCAAAGCCATTCAAATCGGCCATGGTATACGAAATGTGGTAGTTTCATAAAAAAATAAATAAAAAGTGACAAAAAAATCGCAAAAACGTTGTTTAATCACAAAAAACAAGGAATATCAAGATAATTACAAATTTACGTATGCTCTTGAAAAAGTCGTGATTTTTACGAAAATGTCCAATAAAAAATCTCAGTAAGTTACAAAATATTTAAGTAGTCAACTCAAGGGACCGGTAGTTGGCACTTGGTTAATTTTTTCCAATTTTGTTTTTTTTAAAACGGAATAGCACACGGTGAAGTGTTATGTAGCCGATAAATGAAACAAAATAGAGCTCGCAAAATTTACACATTTGTACAATTACTACTGGTAGAAGCTTCTTGTCCATGTGCACGTGGTTAGGTACCAAATCCACCGTATTTCGGCAGCGAAGCGAAGCGACCATTTTGTTGTTACAAAATTTGTTTAAACAATGCAACTCAGATTTTGACTTTGGGTTTCAAGGTTCCAAGATGGCATTCATCTTGTTCTATAACCTCTGGTCATTTAACAATGGGCCGTGAGCTCTTCCATCATTCTAGTCCAACAAAAAACCTCAAATACTGGCAAACATCTACGAAAACAGGATACTTAAAACTTCTTATTTTTAAATTCACCTCCCACCAGGGCGCCAGCAGGTGGAGACGCTCCTCCACCAGTCGACAGAAAGAAGGACGATAAGAAAAAGGGAAAGGAAGAACCGCCAGAGCCGGAAGAAATACCGAAGACACCATCGCAAATCGATAGAGAGTAAGGTTTTTTTTTTTAAAGTTTAGAAATGAAAAGGTTAGAAGTAAAGAGAACCATCTCAGTGTATTAAAAAGTGTCCGCTGAAAAGGAGCCAATTGCGGTGCGCCACAGTAGCAAGTGGAAGGATTTTAAAAACAGCGCCTTAAACTACCACACTTCATTTCAACCCAGCAAACTTTACTCTGTTTAAAACTGCTATATTCATATCATTTCCACTTCGTACACTAGCGCTATTTCGGTGAGTCTTCCAACAATAATTTGCTGTGTACTGGCGGACCCTTTTTCAACTTGTCCCTTAAATAAGATAGTACCTCTATCTATCATCCACAGTACCAACAAAGCGATCACCAACTAAATATCGACGTATTGTCAAGAAGGGAGATAATAATTGTCATATCTCAATGTTTTTTTTTTCTGCTTAATTATTGCGGGGCTATTCCAACTAGGCGCGGTGCGGGAGTTTTTTTTTACTGAATGATAAGTACCTCGCTGTAAAAGAGACAATGTTTTTGTTGCTCCGAATTTTGCTTTCAACTGTGGTTTGGTCGTCTTCCTTTGCGATGCGGCTTAGTAAGACCTAGAATTTGGTTTAGTGTAGGAAAGAGGTGATATTTTACCCTACCTATTCGCTGGTAGCCCAGCGGGCTATTCCAATTACGCCCGGACGGGTAAGGTGAGCTCACGGGCTCAACCTGAGAGAGGTTGCTAACACTACCTAGTAAGTACCTACCTAGTAACCCTAGTAAGAGCAGTGATTCGCAGAATCTACTACTGGAATCGCGACCCGCTGAAGTTAAGGGTGTCTCTAGTCCGTGTAGCATTCGTGTGCCATAATTACCCTAGCGCCCTCAAGCAAGCGCGCGGTTAATATGGAATAGGTAAGAATTTAAGGGGTTCTTTGAGAGTACGGAGGCCGGCATTCCCTAACAACGCTGCGCCCACACCCTGCACCATGGGTAAGCCGCCTCTGCTATAACCAATTAAAAAAGAATGCTCACCCGTCAATGTATAGCGTTTTGAAAGTTGGGCTCTATGAGCCTGACAAAAAGTCGTCGTGGCCTAAAGGATAAGACGTCCGATGCATTCGTATCTAGCGATGCAACGGCGTTCGAATCCCGCTGGCGGGTACTAATTTTTCGAATGAAATACGTACTTTACAAATGTTCACGATTGACTTCCACGGTGAAGGAACATCGTGTAGTAAAAAGCAAACCCGCAAAATTATAATTTGCATAATTACTGGTGGTAAGACCTCTTGTGAGTCCGCACGGGTAGGTACCACCACCCCGCCTATTTCTGCCGTGAAGTAGTAATGCGTTTCGGTTTGAAGGGTGCGGTTAGGTTGTAGATGTTTATGGGCTCCAGTAGCCACTTAACAACCAGGTGGGCTGTGAGCTCGTCCACACATCTAAACGATAAAAAAAATAGCATCCAAGAATTTTGACGTAGACACATAACTACATTTCGTTTTCCATTGTTGCCTTTGTGTTTGTGGACCCATCCGCTTCGTGTCAGGGCTGAACGGGCTGGCGCACGTAAAAACCCAATAATGCTTATGACGCATGATTACAAAAACCTTGGTCGTGTTATTGTTGTGTTTTTTTAAAGTATCCATCATTTCGCAGCCTTGCTGTTACATCATCTGTGACCTAAAACCCGGTATGTTGTAAGTGTTTTTCATTGCTGCCAAAGATAATCGCGTGATGGGGGGGGGTTTCCGTCCCTCAGGAATATTGGTAATGCCAGGCAGGCGGTTAAGTTACTACTGAACTTTTTAAAGGCTTATTTTCAAGTCTCGTTTGAAGAAGGACATGTCAGAGTGCTTGGGACCTCGGGAAGCTCCCTTTCTTTCTTTTTTTTTTCGGGCCGGGGCTGAACCTCCTTCGTGGTCCCCGTGCCTAAGTGGGGCGCGGGGTATGTGGGACTTGACGGTCTGCAGATGTTGAGAGCAGACCGCGGGCCCAAGGATGCTTTAGGCTCGGGAAGCTCCCTGGAGAGAGATCTTCAGTACATATGTGGTGATAGACCTCTGGAAACTGGATGATCGAAATGCTCCAGATGACAACCGGTAGGTAGCGTCTTGGCTCTGCCCCTGGCATTGCAGAAGTCCAAGTCTTTGTGGTTTCTTATTCAGTCTCAATAAAAAGTCGCGAAAATCGGATTTAATTTTTACACTAGACCCTCTATTGCATTTCAAACAGCGCGTCATCATCACCATTCCACGGACTTACTAATCTACTGTTAGTAAGCTCTGGTTTCACCGAATGTAGTCGAGCTCACGGGGCTTAGCCTGAGAGCACTGACCCTAGCAAGAGCAGTGTTTCGCTGAATCTACCACCGGACTGGAATCGCGAACTACTGAAAAGATCCGGCGAGAAACTCAGCGGGTTGTGTCTGTGGGGTCCACAAAGTTACACTACTGGATACAGGTCACCACACAATGACTCTCTTTCTCAATGTGGTCTCTCCTCCGCAACGACCGATCATGCGCAGCCCGCTTTCAAAGGCTATTGAAAACCCCATTGAATAAATTTAGAATACTAAGCGCAATTAAATAGTATATTACACCTATTGGGAAGGAAAATAATAAAAGCCTCAGATCACGTCATGTAATTGTTGGCCTAGGCGAAGCCGAGATCAACAAACATGTGATTTGAGGTTTACTTTTTTACTTTCCAAGGGCTGTATACTATTTTTTTGTCCGACAAAGGCGGAAAGCGGCAACTTTGTTTAGCGCAGCTTGTTGAAGGGGAAAAAACTATATTTCTGGTTCCATATCAGTATTTATTTTATTCTCACTCTATTATTTCTGACGTTTTGAATGCCTGACAGTTTTCGTGATCACGGACGACTAAGGCATTATTCTCCCGCTATAAATCTTAAACTAACCAATTAAGTAATGGCTGTCGGCCGCAAAAACCCTTGGAAGACATAATCCTTCCAAGGCTTTGGATGTTTGAGAGCATTTGTTGCCTCCAGGGAAGCGGAATACCGTGCTCTGATGAGGAAGCTGAGGTTCAAGAGGAAATGGCCAGAGATAACCAAGGTACCTATCAACACGAGGCCCTGGAGACCACCAGCGGGACACAGGAAAATACCTCGCATCGTAAGTATCGAAGTCCAATCTTTAAGAACCTTATCTAATTTACGAGAGGAAGCAACTAAAAAAGTGCGAAATTCTTTTCATATTTAAACGTAAATATACCAGACCTTAGTTCACACAGGGAGTCCTAATTTGGGGCCAAATGAACGTGTGGGATTCGTTCACGATTGACTATAATTTGATCTTTATTCTGATGCACTGTCATCTTAATTTCAAGTATATCTCATTGATAGACATGAATTTCCACGCCAAGAGAACGTACATGAATATGTAAAAATCAACATGTTTGTCTCTGTTTTGTCTGTTTTGTTAGTTGAAGGACTGGTCTAATGTATTTGTTACTTCAGCAATTTCAAATTACTGCTTCACGGCAGAAATAGGCAGGGTGATGGTACCTTGCCGGGTAGACTCACAAGACCTCCGACCCCAAGTTAAAACAATTTGCAGGCTATTGACCTGCCCGAGTTGACTCTGAGGAAATGGGTGCCTCCGTACCGGAGACGCCGTCGTCCCAGGCCTAAGCTGCAGAGAATACCTCCTGAGGAGTTGACGCAGCCTCTATACGAGGGGGCCAAGTTGAAGAAGGTAAGAATGGAAAAGGGACCATCATTAGACGTACTGCTTTTGTGCGTAAGACTTGTGTGTCGTGAAGAAATTAACATGATGCGGAGACAGTTGAATATTCTGCATTTTGTTTGAACAGGATATCTTAGGTACTATACTGGGTGTTAGGAGACCGCTTTCGAAAACGAAGACAGACGATAGTACTAATGATAGGTTTTTAAGCAAATGTTGTAAATAAGTACTTGTGCGATCGCGCGAGTCTGCGCCGCGCCGCGTCCGTTGGTTGACCCGAGCATCAGCTTTTTTCATTTTGTGTTTCATTGTTGGTTTTTTTTAGTAATGTATTTTTTGTAATGCCGGCCACTCACATGCGCGCAAACATTCGTACATTGTAGGAATGTTCGCGCGCATGTGAAGGGGCGTCAGACATTCATTCGCAAACTTAGCGGCTATGCAAATGGGTTCGGTACTCAATTTGCGAACCCGTTTGCGCTTCTTCCTACACTTGTTTACGAATGTCTCACGAATTTCTCCTCCTTTTTAATTCGTCAATAGAACATTGAAGAGAAAAAGAGTTTTGAATTCTTTCCCAGACATCATTAACAGACATGCTGTTTTTATGGGATTTCTTTTGATGAAGATACACTACACAGTAGACGTCACGATCTATGAAAATAGCGAAACGTCCGTTGCCTTCGCAATCGTGGGCGCAACTGGTCACACGAATGTGTGGGAGACTACGCGAAGGATCGCGGTTGTGCACTTTGATGTCTGTTAAAAAACCGACTCAGCTTGGATAACCGCGAATGCAGCGAAAACTTTGCATAATCATTTGCAAATGTCGTCCTACACTTGTGGGTTTGCGTATTCGTGCGAATGTGAGTGACCGGTATTACACTATCGTTTCATTTAGCCGTACTAACATAATGGAACGTAAATAATGCTAAAAAAACGTTTTAAAAATGTTTAAAAAAAATCAGAATCGTTTTTTTCCGTCCCATCATCAAAGGTGTCATCTACCGTCTGTGTTTGTTTTCGGAAGCGGCCTCCTAGCACCCAGTATGTCTGTTTGCTACGCTAAATTTTAATGAAGTTACGTCATCCAAAAAGTGGCCGTTTCACCTATGTTACCGTTACTGATATCTCATGGTGGATGGCGCATTTACGTTGTAGATGTCTTTGGGCTCCAATGACCACTTAACACCAGGTAGGCTGTGAACTTGTCCATCCATCTAAACAATAAAAAAAGGTATTGTGGGCTATCCAGAAACAACACTGAGAAACGATCAAATGTAGCCTAATAATAGAATACGTCAAATGTACCAGTGTCGTCTTGGTCTAATGGTTAAGACGGTCGGTGCGTTCGTATTGAGCAATACAACTGTGCCGGTGTTCGAGTCCCGCTGGCAGGTACAGATTTTTCTAATGAAATACACGTAGGTACTTTAGTCACTTTCGCGAATTATTCCCGCGTTTGATATCGTCTAATAAAAATCAAGCTCATAAAAAATGTAATTTGCGTAATTACTAAATAATTGTACTACTAAATAATAAACTTCAAGTTTTAAGGTGGGCAATGACAGGGTCATTCACGTTGTGATGAATAAGGGCTCCGATAACTGCTCAACCACTAGCCGTCGGCTCATCTTCAGTAACATCTAACGAAAATTATTTAACAAGTTCCATTATTGCAGATCTGGCACAATTTCACGCAAGTCGAGAAGAACAAGATGATGCTGCAGGGTAGCATCGGCTGTAATTCTAGAAGATATTCGTCTACCGCCTGTGGTTAGTTCGGTTCAGTTCTAAATCTTAATTGATTCACACTTGACTGAGTGATTGTTGTGGAGGAGTGGCTTGGAGGATGTAGGAATGTCGCGTCCCACGATGCTCTCTGCCATCTCTCCTAACTCTAGGTTATTTTGATGTTCAGTTATATACTCTTAATGAAGATTAACAATTAAAAAACACTACCGCTATACCTCCATTTTACCAAATTAGAAAAAGTACTCACCAAGAATCGACTCTCAACGATAAGTTTGTTGGTACCTAGTATGTGAGAGTTAAGATATTTGGTTTATAGCCTAAGTAGTCATTGGAGTCCATTGACTAGATTCTTCGAGAAAACTGCATAGCAAGATAACCTTCTCGTTGTGGCTGTCTCGAATTACATACTCGACCCAGATAAGAAACAATTTTATCTGTGTTACTGTGTTACTTATAATGTTTGCTATGTGTATGTGCTATAATTCTCATGTTGTATTTGTTATTTTAGTTATGTGTTATTTGTTCTACACACACTTATCACTTTTTATTATTATTCTCATTATCCTCTCGCAGGACTGCTGGAAGAGATTTCTCAAAGAAATAAGCAGTGCCTTTGTACATAATTTTCCTATTACTCTGTACTGTGTCTTGTTTTCTGTGTGTACATAAATAAATAAATAAATAAATAAAAAAAATAAGGCAACGCACCGTTGTCGCCATAGACATATCATATCTGATCCTCCCGATACACTTTCGTTGCATTAAGCGTTTTCAAGCACCGGTCACCGTTTGAGAAGTCGATTACGAAGAGTTGGACGTGCAACTTAGTCCACAAACACAACTCGCTGATTCTCTCGCGGTACTGCGAAGCACTGCTCTTGCTAAGGCAGAATTTAGCAAGTTCTCTCAGTCCGAGCCCCGGGAGCTCGTCTACCCTTCCAGAAAAGTGGAAAATCCCCTCAAAGCTACCGGCGATTAGTTCATCTTCTCAGTAATTCCGTCATTAGTGGTAGAGTAATTTGCTGACCGTTTCGCAGTGAATTGGGGTGGTTTGAGATCCAGGACTTGGGTGGTACCTATAGTGGTCATTTATATTAACAATACGAGTTATTTATTTATTTATTTATTTATTTAATAAGTTGCACCAACAAAGTGATCATCAATACAAAACATTGACAGATTGACAAAAGTTCATGGCAGATGTCACCTCAATTATAGGTGAAATCGACATTGCATTAACATCAAAAATAAAAATAAAATATACAGCTAAGATTTGGATACATTTCATTCATTGCTTAAGATTAATTTAATTGGGAGATGATCCGCGACAGATTTTTCCTGTAAGTAGTGAGACAATATGAAAAAACATCTATTTCACTTAAAATAAGTTATCACTTAAATAGGTACCAACACGGAAAAAACATACACTAAGACTATATTTAAACACACATACTAGAAGCGTAATCCATTATGGATGGAATGGGTGAATCAAAATTACTAAGTGCGTATTATTGAGAATTTTGTAAATGGGTAGAATATTGAACGGAAAATAATTATGTTCCACGTCAGAATCCAATACTGTATGGTGACGCTTTTGATATATTCAAAATAATCTCAATGCTGTCTGACCAGACTGAAGAAGCGGCCAGACGTAATGCGTTTTGCAAGCTAGTTTTGCATCTTTGTTTCTCACGTTGCACCAAAACTACAAATTACAATTACGAATTACATTATTCAATTATAATTAAAATACATGTGCCGCCACATTACCAAGGGCCTCCTTTTTCTTGCCCTTATCCTTATGGGGTCGGTGCAGTATGTCCTCTGTTTTCATTCACACCTATCATATTTCATCTCTGCACTCCTACCATTCTCTTGCGGTCTCCACCCAGTCCATCCAAGTCTTTGAGACGCCCCCTTTTCACTGAAGGTACAAGAGTTATATTCGAATAATTTGGATATATTATATAAATATCGGTTCTTAACTATGTCATTACGTTGTAGATGCCTATGGGCTCCGGAAACCACTTAACTACAGGTGGGTCGTGAGCTCGTCCACCCATCTAAGCAATAATATAAAAAAATAAAATACTAATCCTATTTCAGGTTCGCAGACCGGTTGCATAGCGGCCGTGTGCAGGGCGCTTTTAGATGAGAAAAGTTCAAAGGAGCTTACCAAGAACGACGTGGATGAAGTGATTGAGGCGGCTGATAGATATTATCACCAGTGCATGCTGGCTATGAAGTGCTATAAGGGTTTGTGGATGCGTCTTCAGGTCTCCACTATTATTGGGTTAACGCAGATGCACTCTTGCGACGAAGGGCTCGACGAGCGAATTAACCCATAGACACAGCCCACTGAGTTTCTCGCCGGATCTTCTCAGTGGGTCGCTTTTCCGATCCGGTGGTAGATTCTGCGAAGCACTGCTCTTGCTAGGGTCAGTGTTAGCATCACTCCGGTTTAAGCCCCGTGAGCTCACCTATTAGTTAAGGTTACGCTAAAATAGCCTCTCAAGACTATCAGCTTAGGTAGGAAAAAAAAGTAGATGCTGTCCAGCATCAGTATTCAATTCTTTGGTCGCTGTTCGGTTGTGCTGACCTGACTCTTGTAGCCATGGTCATACTTGTTAGATTTGCTGAATGTCTTGTAAATTTTTTATGTTGCGGTGGGTATATTTGAAAAGAAGGGAGCCTTGACTCTCTTGCCTGTTCTTCTGAATGGTAAAATTTATAATTGTCGTGACTGTTTGAAAGTGCTGGAAAAATAAAGCAGTTAACACGTGGTACAAGTATAGCTTACCGCGTATCCTAATCTCATTCTCTTACAGGTCTAATAGTATTAAAAACATTTTGTCACAATTTAGGCGTCAAATGGTGACTTATGAACCCTGACACAAGCTTGTCTCCACACGTACCGATCGCCTAGTTTGTCTTTAAAAAAAAAACGTAAATTCCGCGTACTATGATCAGGAAAACCTCAACTTCAACTGAACCAGCTTCTGACGTCATTCTTCTTTCACGACACGAAGTACACGGTCAAGATGGAACAGGTGGACAAAGGACTCCTGGCCAAGCACCCGGATAACATTCAGGCTGAACTGGATTTGATGACGTAAGCTACATTGCTGATCGCACGTCCAGTTCCGATATCATTGAGATTCGACTTCATTGCTTAAAGTTAATTTCCGATATCAGATCGATATTTTATACGTCTATCTATGGTAGATTCTCGCTTAGTGAAGCCAGTAAGAATGAGTTGATGTTACTATAATCTAGAACAGCATTTCCCAAAGTGGGCGATAACGCCCCCTTGTGGGCACTGCAGGCCTAAAGAGGGGCGGTAAGAGACTCAGAAATAAAATGGGGGCGTTGTGTAGGGGCTGGGGAGGTGATTTGTAATCTAGGAAGACTCTTAGACTGAGCTCTCGCTATAGTAGTTTTTAAGTAGGTGAAAAAATGGGGGCGCCAAAAAAATAATATATTCGTAAAGTGGGCGGTAGACAAAATAAGTTTGGGAGCCCCTGGTCAACCGTCTTAACTTTACCGTCAGTATTCACTGTTTTCCTAAGACCAGTCGAATTTCCGAGGGGTAGCTTGGATAGTTGTTAAATGCAGACATGGGTTATCAAAGCGCATTTTTAGGCTGCAGACACAATATGAAGTAAAAAAAGAAGCTAGAAATATAGAGAGTGGAGTGTAACTATACTTGAGACCTTAGAACTTATATCATGTCTCAAGGGTAGTGACGTATTTACGTTGTAGATGTTTATGGGCTCCAGTAACCACTTAACATCAGGTGGGGTGTGAGCTTGTTCACCCATATGCAAAAATATGCAAAAATCGTTGCAGTTTTGGACGAGTCAATGGACTTCGAAATATTTCTATCGGAGAAAAGGAAAGGGATAGTTTTTTTCTTTTTTCAAGTCCTCATCTAATTCCTCATACGTCACACGCAACGTGCTTGAAAGCTCACTTAGACCTGGATATTTAATTATAATCACATTGACTCTTAGCATGATGGAGAAGCGCGCCGGCACAGCGTACATGATGATATTGACCGTCGGTGGTAACCGTCACTTTTTGATCTGGAGCGAGCTGCCCGAAGCTGGAGGTCAGGTCAAAACCCTCTGCTACATCTTCGACCCGCATATGCTGGACGAGCGAGGGGTGCCGAACAAGCTGTAAGTATTGGGGTTTTATACTGGTGGTGGGGGGTTGTTTGAGCCCCAAGGGTTGAACAGTAATGTGCTTTGATGAGTAGGGCGGCCGTTGTACTGGAAAACTGAAACTTGAAGTCGTGTTTCAAAGTGAGTGGCGGCATTGACGTTGTTGATGCCCATGGTCTCCGGTAACCACTTGACACTACGTTAGTTCATTCACATCGCTAAACAACAAAAAATAAGGACTTTTGGTTTCTTGGAGCATACAACCCGCCTGACGGTGAGTGGTCCCTGTCAGTCATGGACATCAGCAATTTGAGGCTCGCTATCGACCCAATAGTTTGGAATCGATTGCTTTCTCGCTGTCCTGGTTGGATCGGAACGAATGTCCCAGAAATAAGTAGGGTATTGGAATTTGGGTTTATGGTACCTGCCACCTAAAAACATTTTGGCTACCTACTTGTATGGATGATTGTGGGAACAACCCTTGCACCCTAGCAAAACTTTTTATCCATATTCATACTGATATTATAAATTTGTTTGTTTGTCTTCGTCTTCTTTTACTTCGTAACGAATTGACATGTTTTTTTTAAAGTCATGCTTTAGCTCTGAAGATTGACATAGGCTACTTACTTTAAATCCCAAAAAAGCATCTCAATCACGAGCCAAATCGTTTTGATAATCTTTAGAAAAAGTTATGTGACACACTATACCTTGAGAACGCGGGCGTAGCCGTAGGCCACGGGCACTAGTCTTAATATATATAAATCTCGTGTCACAATGTTTGTCCTCAATGGACTCCTAAACCACTTAACCGATTATAATAAAATTCGCACACCATGTGCAGTTCGATCCAACTTGAGAGATAGGATAGTTTAAATCTCAAATTATAGTCGCAATTTTAATTTATTGCTAATTATTTGTCTGTTATTATTTGACAGTCACAATTATCTGTTAACTCCAAATGATTCTAACAGATGTCGATACCTTTCGACTGGGTTGAGTAAGTAATCAATAGATGGCGCATATATGGCAAAACAACGTTTGCCGGGTCAGCTAGTGAAGTATATGACCAAATTACACTCGTAGTGTCAATTTATTTAACGTGTATATATAACGTAAATGACATTAGGTTGTCTGTCTGTCTGTCTGGCTAGATACGGAGCCGGGGCGTTTTTGCGTTACGCTGGCGTGTCATCGTTTGTCCTGGACTTTCTGACGAACTATGGCGACTTGGACTCGGCCAAGAAGGGCACACCGAAGCCACCGATAACCTTGACTAACATCGAAGTCAGTATGATATAATTGGTTGGCAAAAGTAATTTATTGGTGGTAGGACGTCTTGTGAGTCCGCGCGGGTAGGTACCACCGCCCTGCCTATTTCTGCCGTGAAGCAATAACGAGTTTCCGTTTGAAGGCTGTTGTACTGTACTAAGACCTTAGAAGTTATCTCTATCTATGGACTCCGGTAACCAGTTAATTCCGGATGGACCGTGAGCTCGTCCACGCGTTTAAGCAATAATTTTTTTTTTTGGGTAATGTGAAGGTATTTTGAAACTGGTTCTCTGGGTTGTGTACGGTTTAATCCATGTGGCTTGAGGAATTGTTTGAGGTGATGTGGTTTTTGTCGTCGCTACCGGATCAGAGCTTACCCATACAAGCTGTAACCACCAGTGCTTTCCCAGAGAGCTTTTCTGCTGACTTTGAAATCAGCCCCCCATTGTGTACCGAACTCTATGACATGTCTTTTGTTCAAACGAGGACGTATTTTAGGAGAATACAAGAGGAACTTAGTTCCTGGTCTTACTGATGTCCACGGGCGACTGTCCCCAATCGTACCTTCTAACTTGTGAATCCATAAAAAGTGATATGGATATTTATTAAATTAGTATCATCACCAAGAAAAATGTTTTGATCTTTTCAGTTTTTGACAGTCTTGAACATAATTAAAATTACTTTTCACGATTTAATCTCGCCTTTATGATTTTCAATATATATATTATTTCCGACTACCCACCTACCGATATAGTGTTCTGACTACCGTTGAAACTTTTCTGTTAATTAGTCATCACTTTATTCATTAAATATCTACGAAGAATACGTGAGTTGCACGTGAAAATGCGAATCATTAAAAACGTTTAAAAGTAATCATGTAAATATAATGAACGACTGTAAAATTTTGAAACTGTAAAATTTGTTTTAATTGCGACACGAAATTGGCAAGCAAACTTAAAACGATTTGGTCGAGTTTACGTAAGCTCCCCTAAAAGGTGGTCCAAAAAGAGCGACTGCTTCGGGAGCCGACCTTCGAGCTTGATTTGAAAGCTCTGAAGATACACTGCCGCAGCGAGTGGGACAACATCAACATTAACGCTCTCATCGAAAAGAAGAGATATGAGGTTTGTGTCTCCACGCAGTTGCTGGATTATTTCTGACGGGAGTTTATCAGTTGAGGAGATTATCAATTTGGTAGGCAGCAGCTTGACTCTGCCCATGGCATTGCTGAAGTCCATGGGCGACAGTAACCACTCAAGAGCAATAAAAAAAAGCTTTGATATTAGCGATCCGAAATCGGCTGTCCGGGCGGGTATCACGTGCTAGGGTTGCTGGAAACGCATGCGAAACATCTCCAATTATAGGTACCGAATTTTCGAACTTTGAGTCTCGTGTCTCAAGCTGTCTCACGCCATCAACTGTGAGCTTGCGCTTCTGTGGCGTTAAAAATATCTACTGCTCCTGTTTCTGCTCCAAATATATCAGTGCGTTCTCATTGGAAATGGGATGGTCGGTAAAATCGTCTGGGTCTACGTCTATTCAGATAGCAGTAATGATATACAGGTGTTATCCACAATAATGCCCCAAATGTGTGCTGTTCTCTTAAGATACTGCTAAGTTAAGCTGATTATCAATTGGATTATACTTTTTGATGTTCACGATCTCTAGTTACAACAGTTGAAGTTAATTGTGATTCATTTGCCGAATTAAAAGCAGTCAACTAGAGGATTTGTCAAATGACCCTAGCCAATGCTGTGGTCATGTGCGATGATCGACACAGTATGTGAGATGAGGTCCTTACGTTTGTTGTGCCCCGGACTGGCCCTCCAGTCTGCGCTGATACTTCAACTAACATTACCAGTGCAACTAAGCTTATCAACTCATCCCTCAACCTCTGTTCACTCTCTAGGGTAAATATCCTCAAGGTTCCCTCAGCGCGGTGAGCATAGCTACATCAAGAGCCACCTCTAGGAGGAAGGTTAGAGATTTCTACCAGAAGAGCCCTAAAGAGGTGAGATGTTTGACAAGTCGAAATCATATATCAGCCACTTGCGTCTTTTTAGAATGTTACATTTTAGAGCTGACAAAGTGCTTTTTAAGTTAGATGCCCAATATATTAGCAAATCTGCCATGATTTTAATACTCGGGTGGTATCCATTTCTACGACAGAGAGTACTTATTATACTTATTATGTTCCGTAGGAAAAGACAACGTTGTCATTTTCTGAATTAACATGTATTTCAATTCTGCTTATATCTGCCGCGGGTGATGCGTTCTGGTTTAAAGGGTTTTTTTTTCTTGCACTTTAAACATCGATCTTACTGCTCAAGGTGAGCGGCTGGTGTACACATTGCGGTAGCGGTTAATGGCCCGATAATACCAAACAGAGCATCCTGAACTGAATTTGATCCGAAAGTTAATAAATTGAACAGTGTGCTCTCATGCTTCTTTATTTTCTTCCTCTCTTCCCGAATTCTAAAATACCCTCAAATTAGTAGTGGGGCCATTATTCGAAAGGGTAAGTACCACCAAAGCGTAGGGTAGTCTTAACAGAATCGATTCTACAACCTTGATGGAATTGCAGAATCATGTCTATCGGCTGTGATGATCAGTCGACAACCGGTGGGTTTTAAGTCCAATGAAAATACTACTCGCAACTTTTGTCTACTCCAGCCTCCGCCGCAGCTGCCGGTGGCTCCAGAGCGTGCTCCGGCCGCCATGACCCAAGACCAGATAATGTCCTTGAGAGGAGAAGACTTCTTTCTCTACTGCCCCAGTGTAGACGGACATTTCTATGGCAGGTGAGGTATCTGAATACCTTTCCAATCGATTAGTGGGATTTACATATGAGCCATCAGTGAGAGTTTACGATCTGAATAATTTTTTTGTTGCCTTTGTGAGCAGACGAGCATACGGCCCATCTGATTGTACGTTGTCACCGTCGCTCATGGACGTTAGCAATGCCAGGGCAGAGCCAAGCCGCTGCCTACCGTTAAGTTCTCACCGCAAGCTTCGTTTGAAGAAGGACATGTCATAGCGCTCGGAAAACACCGTGGGGGGGAGTTCATTTCAAAGCCGGATGTGGCAAAAAAGATTTTTGGAGTAGTGAATTCATTATCGACTAGGGTTGCACCCAAAAGTCAAAACTATGAAGGAAAAACCGGGCGCTTGTCACTTAGAAAAAACTAATGACTAAAAATTATATTGTACCTATCTAAAAATTCTCAACCATCCGCTTTAGACTAATATACCAATTCACCCCTTTTGATTTAGAGCCATAGTATGATTATGGGTTTTGATTGTTTCATAATACACTGCAGAAACAAAATATCGACTATACTCAACCGAGGTAATGAGAAATCGACGTTAATAATATCCCGCATACAAGCTAGCTATTGGTAACACGAGTTTGTTCCATCCGGTCCACACTACGGCCACTTTATAAACTATTTGTGCGCCACACTCTGATGTCTATGATTTTAGGAGGGATTTCGGAAAACTTTTTTCTATTTGCCCAATGCTTGCTAGTGGATGGGCATCTTGAGGCCAAATGGTTATCATTAGAATTTTATATAAATGAGACTTAAACATTTCTTAACTTGGTTTTTAGCCGTCGTATTGTGGTATCTAGTTATCTACGCAATAATAAAACCACATTTCCTTTGCGTAAGCTGTTTTTAGTTGAAGAAATAGCGGTTTGTGATTACAGAGACGACATGATACCGCGTCCGAAATCGGAGACCGTTCTCCACAGTCCGGTCGAAATAGCCGATAGGAACTATCACTCGCAGTACCAGCAGCTTGACGTTGAGAAGTGGATCTTGCGGGGGACCAGACACATGGCCAGTTTCAGGTATTCAAAGCTAGGAGATGAGAGAGAGAGAAAAAGAGAGAGGGAGGGAAGGAGGGAAAGAAAGACAGAAAGAAGAAAAGAAAGAAAGAGAGATAGACAACCGTGTAATTAAGAGAAATTCCGGAAAATATAAAAAGATACAGTAGGTACATATGTTGCGGTGTACTTACTATTAATAATACATTATTAAGAGAGATAAATTAGCAACTGACACTTAAGCAACAGATTTTTTTTTTGTTCTGTCTATGCTTGAGATACCCTTGAGAGGCTATCTCAGCTTCGCCTTGTCGTGTAGGTGAGCTGACGGGGCTCAAACCGGGAGTGTTGCTAACACTGGCCCTAGCAAGAGCAGTAACAGATAATAGTGGTCCTTAGTCTAACTATCACTTTAAACTTAGGTACCAAACGTTTAAGACGTATACCGGCGTGGCGTGTTGTGTGGCAGCCCTAGCCATGCTCCGGAGGTACAGGGCTCGAGCGTGGAACGAGGATATTATTGACGAAACCCTGGATCTAGGATACAATCTTTACAGGGTTGGTGCAGAGGTTTTTTGTTTTGATGTTTCAAAGCGGAGACGGTGGTGTTGTGAAGGTGCCCTGGAAGGGTTTTTGAATGACTCTTGTTTTAATTCGTATCGAATGGGAATATACTCAAATCACTTTAGATATATCACATTAACAATGATCATTATCCCATGTAATTCATTTTAAATATTTTGCAACCACCTGTTTGTACCTGGTGGTGGACGAGCTCACAGCCCACCTGGTGTTAAGTGGTTACTGGAGCCCATAGACATCTACGACGTAAATGCGCCACCCATCTTGAAATATAAAGTTCTAAGGTTTCAAGTATAGTTACAACGGCTGCCCCACCCTTCAAACCGAAACGCATTACTGCTTCACGGCAGAAATAGGTGGGGCGGTGGTACCTACCCATGCGGACTCACAAGAGGTCCTACCACTAGTAATTACGCAAATTATAATTTTGCGGGTTTGATTTTTATTACACGATGTTATTCCTTCACCGTGGAAGTCAATCGTGAACAATTGTTGAGTACCTACGTATTTCATTAGAAAAATTGGTACCCGCCTGAGATTCGAACACCGTCGCATCGCTCAACACGAATGCACCGGACGTCTTATCTTTTGGGCTACGACGACTACCAGATCGGAATCGCGACCCACTGAGCAGAACCAATGAGAAACTCAGTGGGCTACTGTGTTGGCAATACCAATGAACTAGCAGAATTTATTTATATTTGAGTTAAATTTCATTCATATTATTTTGCGATTGACTGAAACATCATGTGTTTTTTTGAATGGAAATCTGCGATTATTCTGATGCTCGTTTATGTTGGCTTGCCCAGGAATCTTTGTTGGAAAGAGGCGGTGCTATCAGACAGTTGGTACTTGGAGAGTTGAAGGACACATTTCTCATACGCGACAAGGAATACAAACACAAGGTTAGCCATTATCTGTGTTTCTTCAGAAGGCGATAGTCGAGTGCTCGTGTATACTAGACTGTCGCCCGCGGACTTGAAGGCGATAGTCGTGACGATTTAAGCCCGAATGAGGCCTAAATTTTTTTCAGCAACGGGGAATAGCGGTCTGGGGGAAAGTTATATCTTCGAGCCCCAACGTCTTGGACCTTTGTCGGGGCGTGGAGACGTTCTTCAAGGAGGCAGACACTGGACTCTTTCAGGTTTGTGACGTAGGGTGTTTATTAGCAAACAAAAAGAGTATAGCTAACAGATTGCCTCGTTCTATTTGCATTTGTTTTTATCTATATGTAAAATTGTAGCTTAACCTTTTGACTGCCGTATAGGTCACCGGTGTCCTACGCGGCGCATTTGAACTAATTAGCTTTGTCGATTTCTATTAGTAAGGCACCGGAATGTCTAGTAGACTCTGGGGAAGACGAATCCGAAGATACTGAGAATGAATCTATATTTAAGAGACTTAAAAGACTAAAACATACATTAACAAACAAAAGAAGGCAAAGTTAAACAATCCAAGCGCCTTAGTAACAGAAATCGACATAATTACTCAAGTGCGCCGCGAGGGCACCAGTGACCTACATGGGAGTCAAAGGGTTAATTAAATTAAGAAGTGGCTAATTTTGACGATTCATTTGTCATTTCGTCATTTTGGTAGCTCTAAATTTTTGGTAGTTCTCTTTTTTGGTTTAGTTCTGTACTAGATTTAGATTTTTAGTAGCTCTATATTTTTGGTAGTTATATTTTTCGCTTTAGTTCTGTACTTTTGGTAGTTCTATTATTTTTAGTAGCTCTATATTTTTGGTAGTTCTATTTTTCGCTTTAGTTCTGTACTTTTGGTAGTTCTATTATTTTTAGTAGCTCTATATTTTTGGTAGTTCTATTTTTCGCGTTAGTTCTGTACTTTTGGTAGTTCTATTATTTTTAGTAGCTCTATATTTTTGGTAGTTCTATTTTTCGCTTTAGTTCTGTACTTTTGGTGGTTCTATTATTTTTTGGCTTCACTGTTTTTTGGTAGTGGTGCTATATATTTTGTCAACTCTATATTTGTGATCTTAATTATTTAGGAATAAAGCGCGGTATTGAACTAAATTAATTTAATTTGAATCTTTCTTCAATCAAATTAGATACCGGGCGAATTCGAAGTGGCCATTTGGAACGAGGGCGGAAAATATTACATTTACCATCCTTGGCCGGCTGACAAATACGGGCATAAGGTGATAATAACCAAAATCATTTGTTACTAGCGTAGGCAGCGGCTTGGCTCTGCCCTGGTAATTCTGAAGTCCATGGGCCCCGGTGACCACTTAACACCAGGTGGGCTGTGAGCTCGTTCACCCATCTAAGGAATAAATAATACACGGCGCCGTGGCTTGCAATTAAGTTTTTTATGCGTCAGTACCACAATTTCCACCATGGCCTTATACATAAAGTGGCCATCTTATAATATCAAGTGTTGGATTAGGGTTCGCGCTATTGATTTGAACAAATTGACCATTTTATCTGCGCAACCAATACTAGCATCCTATTTTTACTCCAAAGCAGATCATTTATTTCGGCTCGAGGGCTACTCTTGTGGTGTAGTGTCGATATAGTTGCAGCATAGTTAACGAGTGCTTAGCACTACTATGCTTCTTTTTCTTGTTATTGGTGATAAGACCCCAGCATCTTTGCCTTCCACGAGCAACCCTGAGCACTGAATAGAGAGATCTTATGAGCATATCTATCACCGCGTAATAACAATATATTTGAAGGTTGGTCTCCGTGAAGACGGCAAAGCTTGCTTGCTGTACTTCACGCGCGTGAGCCGCCTCTGCGAGCTACTGACGGAGAGTGCAGGCGACAAGAAGCGGGGCGCATTCAGTATATCGGACATAAAAGTTTTTCAGCGCGAAGGGATACCACCACCCATTAACAAACTCACACGTTAGTATTTGTAGCTTCAGTTTTTCGAGTGTAAATTGTTTGTATAGTTCATCCTGAGTCTGTCACGATGAAGTCCAAGGTGTATCTTGCAGCGGTGGCACCGGGTCGTTGGGTCATCAAGGGTCACTTTCACGAGGGAGACGCCAGGTTTCCGGAGGAGCATCGCAACAAACAGGCCACCCCAACATCGATAGCGGCCATTGCCATGGCGAATGTCGTTAGTCCTGACGAATGGACCCCAGATGACATCGATGAGGTAATAATCACTAAAATATGCGCAGAAGACATGTCTTGTCTTGTATTAGGTAAATATTATGTACGGTATTTTACAAACAAAGAAATTGATGCTAAAACTAGGGTAGGTACCACATTAGTCACGGCCTTCTTGTTAATGTTCGTATCCCGCAGGGAGATACGCATTGTACTAGCAGTCAAACAACCCAGTGTGGGACAAGCGACAGTTTATTATTATTTTTTATATTGCTTAGATGGGTGGACGTGGTCACGGCCCACCAGGTGTTAAGTGGCTGCCGGAGCCCATAGACGTCAACAACGTAAATGCCGTCACCCACCTTGAGATATGAGTTCTACGATCTCAATATAGTTACAATGGCTGCCCCATCCTTCAAACCGAAACAAATTACTGCTTCACGGCAGAAATAGGCAGAGCGATGGTACCTACTTGTGCGAACTCACAAGACGTCCTTCCACCAGTAAAACTTGACCAACAGTAAGAATTGAAACTGCGATTGCATACAGCATGTCGCAAAGGTGAGGAAGAGATTCAAGTCGTGATGTCTATGGGTTTTCGGTAACCACCATGAAAACCCTTTTGTCTTCAAGGCATTCGGTGCCAAGTGAACCTTTGTTACCCAGATTTTAATCAGAGGCGACGTTCTCTATCAAAACACGATGGAACATCTGGAGAAGATGGGCATCGATTTGAACGCTCCTAAACTTGACGAGGAAATGGACGAGGAGGAAGAGGCTCCACCCACTGGAACGCTGTCTGCCATTCACGTAATTAATCGGTTTAAGGTAATTGGTTGTTTATCATGCGTGTTTTTTTAGAAAAGGTTCTTTGAGGAGAGGATTTGTCTGCTGTCTGATTTATTTGGTAGCGATCGGACCAAAGCCAAATCAAAGATTGGCCGGCAATGCGGGCTGGGTTTGACTAGTATATTCTAATACTATCGAGATTTTAACCTAGTGTCTTACAATGACCATGGTCTACGGAAATTATTGACCATAATAATATGGCGAACCGTGGACCGGCGGACCTTATATTCCCAAAATGAAATACATAGCTAGTCTGCGTTCCCTACACTGCGCAGTGTGTTCGTGCCGCCTACCCTTGGTTTCAATTGAAAATCAACTCTAGTTATTTACGCTATAAGCATCTTGCTGACTGGGAACTCGATTTACGGTGGAAGACGAGGGTTTTGTTGACTTTTTACAGATTTATTTTTCAAATATATTGTTTTCATGTGTAAGAGATTGGAGTTTAATATTGCTCAAAAAATTACAGATAACAGATTACGATTGTATAGAGACTGAAGTTTTCGACAGTATGTACAACGGTAAGTCTGATTTTTAATTGGCATCAATGGGTATGTGTGATCTGGTGTTGAGTTACGAATAGCCGTTTTAAAAGTTTTGGCAATATTCATCACCCTCACTCAATTAGAGGCAGAGTTAATAGAGTTTGGATTGCTTGTCAGCTTCTAAATAAATTACATTTGTCTCAAAATAAAGTGGCAATTTAGAGTGTGAAATGTGAAAGAATTTGGTAATTTTATATTTCATGAATGTGATTTCAAGCGGAGGCGGAGTCAGAAGTTAGAATAGATCGTTGATCTCTAATTTTTAATTGCATTCCATTGACAATAGTGAAAGGAACTCTATCTCATAAAGTACTTTATGTAGGCAGCGCTCTGCTGATAGAAGCTTCCAATGCCTGACTAAATAATATTTAATCGAACCAAATATGCGCATTCATCGAAAATTTTAACTTAGGTCAATTAAATCCTGATACCTCCTCGGGAATGATTTCCCTCAAGGCTTCGTTGGAGGAGTTCTTCAAGGGAAACAGTTACGGCGTTGTGACCGCCAGAGGGGGCTCGATGGCTGTTTGGAAAGGCGAAGACCATCTCTACTTATTCGAACCCCATGGCTGCGATAATAGTGGTGAGTGTTGAATTAGGGTGGTATGGTTATTTCTTTTAATTTCGATTGGCAATGGATAGAGCATCGTGAATGACGATCACTGGAACTGATGCAATGTTTTGTCTTGGCAAAATTCTTAAAATGCCGGATGGTGGCGAAATGAGGCATTTATGGCCCTGTGTAATTTTGCCTCTCATTCCCTTTTTGACTTCGGTCTTGTCTGTGATCGGAGGCTTGTTTTTCAAGTTTAGCTGGACATCTAAAGATCTGAATTGAACTTTGAATATGGTTTTCGAATCGGATCTATATTGACCAATAAGCAATTAGACATCGCGCTATACCTAATCGCCCAACATTGATTTTTAAACCGAATAGTGGCTGGATACTGGGACGATGCGGTAGTTCCATCAAGGCATCGTGATCATCTCACTATCGACTCTTTGACTCCTAGGATTCCCGTCAGACGAGACAAGAGCAGCAGCGTGCCTCATTAGGTTGAGTGGTGGCGCTGCCGAGCTAGCCGACGCGATCCTAGCTAACCTCTCTCCGGGTTCCGATGACAGCTTCAATATATCTCCCGTCTCCATAACCGCGACGAGGCTGAACATGGCCATCGGAGTTCCTGAAACCAAATTGGAGGTGAGCGCTTGTTTTTACAGCGCGCATTCATTTGACGATCTGCTCAATTTTATAATCGTGAATCTGCAAATGGAACATCTGAATAAAAATTGGCAAACTGAATTTGATAATACATGGTATAAGGTTGGCCGTGACAAGTAGTTTCGAAGGTTTTTTTTAAAGTATTAATTATTTGAATGAATGAATGAAGTCAGCGGCTCAGCTCTACCATTGTTAAAGTCCATGAGCGACGGTCGAAGCCCATGGTCAACATCAGGTGGACCGTAAGCTTGTCTGCCAACAAGAGCAAGAAAGTCATACATGGCGTAGATTTCAGTTAAGCATTTATTTTATTAATGGTTCAGACACTATTGCCATACTTTTTTTCTGTAGTCTTTGTCGTCCTCGCTTTCAAATTACTTACTAATCCCCTAATCTCGTTTAGAGTAAAGCCTTTGAATGGATATCAAAAGGCACCGCTGCCATCTTGAGTGGGCCGCGTGGTGAGAATACCGCCATTGGGAAAGTCGCCACTAAAGTTGGAATCGGGGTTAGTAATGATAATGGAACAATTACTATAAATGGTTCGCTTTTAACCACTCTGAGCTACTTTTTATTATTAGTTACATGATAAGGGTAGATTTTCCTATACGTGTTTCAAAAAAGCTCTCTAAGCCCGTAATTGCAACAGTCAGGTACACAAGAGGCCTACTTAGGTAATGCTATGAGGTTGTCCCAAAAATCTGCAGACACTTTCCATTAACCACTTGATGGAATGACGTGGAAGTCTTAATTTGATTAGCGGCTTTTGTACTCTTCAAATCGCAGTATATAGTCAGGACTGTGGTAATGACCTCTCAAAACACATCCTTTAGAGAGGGGCAGTAATTTCCGCGTACGCCTTCAGATTATCAACTGGCCAGACTATGGCCACGTATGATTAAATTGTGCAAGTCATTCGGACGTTTGATGTCATTTTCGCAAGATTCAGGTTTGAGGATGATTAAATTTTCGTGCTCACGGACCAGTAGCATGGAGTGTCAGTTATAATTGGTACACCGGACTCTCCTAGACATGCAGTATGCCCAATACGCTCTACTGCCAGAGTTGAAACTGTTAGGATAATGGATTACAAAACTGGTTTAGGCAGATGACATGTCGGGTCGAACTCTGGCTTTGCCTTCAGCGGCCGCTTTTGCCGCCGCCACAGAAGCAGTTCCACCACCGTTCATGCATAGAGATCACATTTATAATTTCCTTGGTGAGTACCTTGCACTGTTTCCTTTGCAAAAATGCTATATGTTCTATGTAGCTACCAGTGTACTAGGAATATATGTACCTTGGTGCGGGGGAAGTGGTTCTCAAAGTATCGGGCTGGAATAACACGGGCGGTTTTTTTTTATGTGTCAAAGGATTTTTTTAAGAAGGACTTTCTATCAATATTTTATCTTTCTTGACGACGTGCACGAGCTCACGGCCCACCTGGTTAAGTTAAGTCGTTACCGGAGCCCATAGACATCTACAACGTAAATGCTGCTACCCACCTTGAGATGTGAGGCTAAGGATGTGAGACCTCAGTATAGTTACAACAGCTGCCCCACCCTTCAAACCGAAACGCATTACGCTTCACGGCAAAACCACCAGTAATTGTGATGCCACGGGCACAACAAACAGCTTTTCTTCACTGTAAATTTGAATGCTTTCCAAGCTTCGTTCAAAGCGTCACATGCCATAGTGCTCACGAAACACCATGCGGTGATTATTCCAAAATTGTATGGTGCTACAGAGGTGGTACAGGGATCTTAAATTATTTTTTATATCAAAATACGTTTAAATACACAGATGCTGGTGCAGAATATTATCTGAACCACGTGAAGAAGACTGGCCGTAAAGAGATTAATGTAGAAGACCTTAGCGAGAAGTTTGAGATGGGGGCCAACACTTTCTCTATAGAAATCGGTGAAGCTGTGAAGTTGCCGTTGAGATTGCCCGACGAGCCTGCCGGGGTGACTGTCTTGTTTATTTATTACCTTTGAAGGCGAGAATCATGGTGCTCACTTGAGCGTGTGGGGTTGCCATCAGTCGCGGAGATCAGCAATGTCAAGGGTACAACTTAGCTGCTGCGTACCTTGTGCCCAAGAGGAGAATCTACTCCAGAGCTAAATTGTAGATTGTCGAAAAAAGCACACCGTTGCCCATGGTTCCACGTGGTATGGATATTCTGGTGCAATTTAAAAGGTAGGCAGTGGCTTGGCTCTCCCCTGGCATTGCTGAAGTCCATGGGCGACGGTAACCACTCACCATCAGGTGGACCGTATGCTCGTCTGCCTACAAGGGCAATAAAAAAAATATTGGAGGGAGATGACATTTCTAATAATTTGTCAGGGCACTCCTAATGGTCTTCCTATTTTCTTCCATACGGCGCAAAACACTAAACATATAATACGGTTCCCGAGTCCATCGATATGGCAACACTGATGTCACTCACTAGGGTAGTGACTGATCTATTAGCCTTTAGAACCAATTTTTAGTTTGTGGACGACTTTGGGATTTCGGCAACTGGTGGTTTTTTCTACTGTTGCTGTACACGAGATCATCTACATCTGGTGTTTAAAGGTTACTGGGTTTCATAGACATCGTAACGGGGTTGGTACTACCACGACTGAACTATACTCCGAACCAGAACACGTGACCGCTTCGTGGCTCAGCTAATTATTATAGATAGGTTCATGAATAGGTTTATTAGGATCTCAGTTGACTTCATATCTGACGATAGGCTATTATGACGAGACTTAACAAAACCTTACGTATACCAATTTGGATGCCATTAGGAAGGTGAAGAGGAAGAATCTGGTGATAAAGATGAGGTGGGAGAAGAGCTGGAAGAAGAGGAAGAGGAAGCGCCTATGAAACGTGAGCTATTAAAAATTCCGTTGCCTTTGTTTGAAGGACCAGTTCAAACCAGTGCGCCCTACTTCGTACTAAATGGCACGATGATAAAGACAAGGCTTTAGGTGCATTTGGCGCGGAAAAAGCCATAAAAGAAAGATTCGTGGCCTACGAATTGCATATATTCTAGTCTGAAACCCTAGATAGCACATTCGACTTGACGTCTCAAAAGAGGTGATGGGGTTATGCAGATACTGTACTCCAATATCCAGTCGGAAGGTCCTATGTAGCCTGTAGGATCTATAATTTAAAAAAAATCTGTAACCTTTGGAAGCTTTGGAGGCATCAGAACTTATCTCACGTTTATCTCACTATTCATTTTAGAAATAAAAGATGCACTGTTCAAATTATGGAATGACGACACAAAGCCGACGACGATCAGCTTGCTGGTAGGTGATTACCATCAGCTCGGCGTGTGGATGGCGTCGAGCGGGAAAGTGGTTGCGTTTGATCCTGCGCCCACAGTTGGGAAGGGAATGCTGACCGCACAAAGGATCAAGAAAGGTCAGTGTCATGTAGATGACCTAAAATCATTGACTTGAAAATAAAGATTGGAGAACTGAACCTCTTTATTGTGCAGGTGATGAGCTCCGCCTGCAAAGAATTAAAGATGAAATGGCTGGTGAAGACGCAGGTGGAGATGAAGAGGCGGAAGATGAGGAGGAAGCTGGTGGCGGTAAGCGAGAACACTATTTGATTAAATTTAACATTTTGGGATTTATGAATTTGTGGCTGTTTCTCCATAAAAATAAAAATTAAATACAGTTGTATTCAGAACAAAATGTAATTATACAGAAAATTTTATTGATAAGAACTGTTTGTTTTTCCTGCTGATTCAAATTAGCCTGCTTTACAAAATATCAATAAATCTACGAATTAGACAGAATGTGATTGTCTTGCATCAAGAAGTTCTTTGGAAGCATGGTTCAAAGTTGCGTCAGGATTTCACTTCAAAGTAAAAGAGTATTGTTTAGTTTTGTCCTTGGTGAGATAGCCAATAAAAAACGGTAGTATCCTCGATCAGAGGTAGAGATGAATCGGATTTATTAGAACAGACCCGAGTATTAGGTATTTTACGAGATTAGGCTGCACCTAATCCCATTTATGTGTATAATCCACCTGTTTCACCTAGTCTCCGTATTCTTAAAACATAAAATAGAATATTCAACATACGCTCCAGGCTGTTCCTGTGCTATTTCACTCATTTACACGTTGCAACGTATCTCACAATATCTAAATGCCTAATCCTAATCATTCAAATAATGATCCAACGATCACATTAATCAAATCCTAATAACGAACTCAGAACTTGAGATTAGGAATAAGCAGATTGAGTTTGCTTGCTAAGTAAAGTATTGGGTGTGAATGAGATTAGGAAGATTATGTGGATTAGGTATTTCTTAAGATTAGGAACAGGTGGACCTAGTATCTGATTTACCTAGTACGACCCATCTCTAATCAGAGGGCGAGGAAGTGCCGGAGCCGGTTCCGGAGTTTGTGCCCCCGGAATCTGCCGCTGCCCTGATGGTGTTCGCGAGCCCGGGGGAGCTCATCGACAAGCTGGGTGAGTGTGTGATGGAAAGCTTTTGGTCAGCTCGACTTGGTGGGAACCTGAGGTAGAAATGTTGGTGGCTGGTTGAAGGACAAGGAGCTTCAGGAGAGTAGGTTGCTACTACTAGGATGGGTTAAGGATAAGCAGGAGCAGCAGCTCGGAGTCGCCTGTACTGGGACAAACAACCAGATACATGCAAATCAATTCAGATTCCTCTGAACAGCTTCTGAAGAATTGACCCATTTGAAAATGTAGCTTGATTTTTTTTATTACTTAGTAGGTTGGACGAGCTCACAGCCCACCTGGTGTTAAGTGGTTACTGTAGCCCATGGACATCTACAACGTAAATACGCCACCCATCTTGAGATTCATTTCGTGTTCATTTTAATTCGTTTCGTCATATAATTCATTCATTCCGTGAATGCAAATTTGTGGTGGGTGAAGGCGTTTTGTCATGGCCATTGACTATGGTGAAATTTATGCCTGCTGAACTGTGAACTCGTCTGATTTAATGCGGTAAAATCCTTGATTAGTGATCCAAGGGGGCCTCGATCGCAAGCAATGTCTAGCACCGTACAAGCTGTATGGTGTTACCGTGAAGAATGAGCTTAGTTCGGTTCTGAAGGAGAAGAGGCCGAGCTCGAGAGATGATGCGGGAGACGGCGGTGAAGAAGGTTTGTATGCTGCTATTGCTATTGGTAGCGAAAGTCATTGAAACAGTAGTTTTATGAATCAGAAGTGAAATATTATTAGAGGGGATCTTAAGTAACATGATCTTTAACAATGTGATTGATTTACATTCAGATTGTGCCTTCTTAGAGCAAGTGTGCCTTTATGACAATTAAACTAAAACTCAAGGTAGGTACCAATCAAACAGTAAAGTGTAAAGGACTCACCGCACCAAGTCAGACCGACAGAGCTTCCGTACGCGACCGCGTCACAAAATGTAATGGCCACGAACAAATAATAGATAATATTATTATACTTAATATACCACGAAACTTTTCCATACTGCCTTATTTACCACCTGGAAAAACACTTTCCACCTAACTAATTTACGAATTCACCAGAGAATAGACAGCAGCTATACCAGAGCACATAGATCACTTTTACTGTTTACAAGGTTTTTCGCGAGACTTTCCTAGTTTGTACCTATTTTTGCATTATCCTGTACTTAAGTTGAAGGGCAAACTCTATGCAACACAAATGAGGTTTCGAGCCGTTTTTTCAAGGTAGGGGGTATTCGAATTGTGGGGCAGGAGATCTTTTAGCCAACTAGCAATTACAAAAAGCCCCGGATGATTTGGTTTAGATGAAGAAGAGAGCTTAGTGGAACCACTGGACGACTCCTGCGTGGGGAAGTACATGGACCGCATAAGCCGCGTCCTAGCTTCGGTCAGAGGAAGACTGGCACAAGACGAGGAATTCTTTTTAGAGCATCGGAACAGAGATCACCAGGTTTGTTTGTTTTGTTTGCCTTCAGTTCCGTGCGACTTCGCCGGACACCCTAAGCGCTTCTGTAGGTGTCTGGAGATAATTCTAATGAAAAACGTACTTGACAAGTGTTCACGATTGACTTCCACGGTGAAGGAATAACATCGTGTAATAAAAATGAAACCCGCAGAATTATAATTTGCGTAATTACTGGTGTTAGGACGTCTTGTGAGTCCGCACGGGTAGGTGCCACCACCCTGCCTACTTCTACCATAACGCAGTAATGCGTTTACGGTTTGAAGGGTGGGGCAGCCGTTGTAACTATACTGAGACCTTAGAACTTATATCTCAAGGTGGGTGGCGGTATTTACGTTATAGATGTCTATAGGCTCCAGTAAGCCTGTACACCAGGTGAGCTGTGAGCTCGTCCACCAATATATGCAAAAAATATATATTTTAAGGTCGCACCTGCATCAGGTTATTTTTTCAGAGATTCCTTATTTTTGACTGAACGAATAACATGAGCATAGGTAATAAAAACATGAAAATGTGGAAACCATGTTGGTGATTGTAATGCAATGGAATGTAATGGGTTTTTTTTACAATATTGTCGAGCTGAACGTAATGTATTTCAATTTGAAATCACAGGTCAATGAACTCGTGTGACGCGAGACGCTCTTCATCCTAATACAGTACCTATGCACACACTCCGTGATATGTAAAGTTGTTAACAATACACAGGAGCAAATTGAAATTGGTTTTCATTAAGGTCAAACACAAATATACGAGTATTAACGACATTACTTCAAAAAAACAGTAATGTAATACGTGTCTATTGCTGGGACTTTTTTTTCTTTATTCCACCAGTCTTGGTGAACTGGAAAGGCCTATGGGCCAAAAAAAAAGAACCTAAGTAATGTCTTTGATATATTGATGTTTAGGCGGTAATGTATTTGGTTGGTTTAGCATCTGAACAGACCTCTCGTATTTGTACACAAATTTCCGACCAAAAATAATTACTATAGTCAGTCGTATAATAAGTAGGTAGTTACTGTACACCTTTAATTTAAAAGTTAAGGTTAAAGAGTTAATTTAAAAGAGTTTGAAAAAACTTCATTTAACAGATATGATGTTCATTTACTAAATATTTGAATAATTACACTTACATAACTTAATTACTCTTCATCACGACAATACTATAATATGGAAGTAGTATTTAACTATAATATTCACGAGATTAACAAAACGTTTTGGCACTCAGAAATAGAAATAACATAGAAAACAATGTGAAAAGAATGGTCTGCCTCCAAATCCCAACTGATTGTCTAGAAAACGGAAACGTTTTGGCGGTTTTATTGATAGCGGTGACTAATGGTTTAGGGCGTTTTGGGAAGTGAAATATTTAATAACTATAATATAAAAATACATAATTATTAAAATAAATAATAATTAATATAAAGAATTAAATAATACAACTGGTTAATCCGAGCGTTTATTCGCGACTGAACTTAACTAAAAGTAAAAAGCAACGGAGCTTGCGGGCGCAACCGCATGTTATGACTACGCACAATTTTGTTTGGGTACGTAACGACCTGTGTCCCTACTCGTTCTTTGACTATTCAAATAATTCACTCAATGAATCCTGTTTCTAGGACGCGGCGAACTCTATAATGGGTATAGTGGTCGAGAACATTGAACCTCACATCCACTGGAAGCCGCAGTTGATCGACGGAATCCTCAAGTACGGAGACAGGGTCCACACGCTGTCTCTGCCCAGAGCTTCTGCTCCGCCAGGGCTACGCCCCAACGAGATTATCGACCAGTTCCACGTTACCAATTTTAATGTAAATATACTTTTAGTCATTGTATTGCTAACTTTTGTTAAGCATTGAATTGACTTAGTTTCACAACATCACGAATCTCAATCTCCTTCAAAACGGTTACATACCCGTATCCATTAACCTAGACCATTTTGAGATGTTGCTATTTTTTTTTTTTATCTTGAAACTCCTAGGCCATTGATTGAGGAGGAATCAGTACGAGAGCTGTGTACCAAAAATCATGGGGATATTAATTGCAGGCTATTGTTGTATGCCTAATCCGTGTTTTGATAGGAAACTTATGCTAAATTATCTCTCTTTCTTTCTAATTCTATCAACTCTAGGTCAGACTAGAGATTGAGAGCGAAGCTGTGACGGGTGACCTGAAAGCTGGAGAAACAGGTGCCGTACTCAACTTGAAGAGAGCCATTAATAGATTCTTTGAAAGCGTGAGTGGATTTTTTGTTCCCTGATTAGCTTTGTGTTTTCGTAGTCATCCAAGTTTGGCTTGGATCCAATTTTCAGAGAGGTTTTTGCTGTAAGACTCCGATTGGAAAGGAAACGTAACGTAAATATATTGAGATAATTTGTAAAGCAGTTGTCTGACAAGAAGCAATTCTGTTGGGTCAAGCAATCCGTTAAGCCGTCTTTATCCTACAGCAGTTGAAATTTCGACCTCAAGCCTAAATTTGTCTCTAGCTTACTGTAGCTATTTGATGCGATATCAGCATTATTGCATTGTTATGATCAAACTTATTCTTTGATACCAGTACAAGCACGGAGTGATTTGCGCTAAGTCATACTGCGTTGCGGTGTGGAAAGCCACAGACGACAAGGCTATTTGCCTGTGGGAGCCTCATGCTGTAGGTCCCAATGGAAGAACGTCTCCTGGAGGGGCGGCGGCCCTCGTCGTGTATTCCAATGTCGAAGACCTGGCCAGCACTATAACAAGTAACGTTGAGGGACTGGAGAGACCGGGATCTAACAGGTGAGCAGCAGTTTCCGGATGCAATGACCAATGGGGGATGGAGCTGAAGCAGTAGTAGTGTATTAAGAGGTTTCCATAGTAAAGAAAATCCTAGTTTAGAGGCCAGGGGATTGTGTGTGATCTCTACATGTCTCCAATTATCTATTTACTCGGCTGTAGGGTAACAGCCGATAGTGTGGCCAATGTCAAGTCTCCTTGGAAATGAAGGACCATGGGCTTATCAAACCAGGATAAGCCTGGAGAGTATGCTAGTTTTTTTGTAAATGCCAAAACCAGACATTCATTGATTGGTAATAACACAGACAATATCGGGTTACCATGCTTACTGCTTGATAGCTTTATTGGTAAAAGAAGACATTGCGAAGTAGCTGAATGGTTTTTATTACAAAAGTGATCTTCGTTTTCTGTAGGCGGACGAAGCTATGTTCTGTTACACGTGCACTTGAATTCCAACTTAATATAAAAATGCAAACTAAAGTATTCCGGAATGCATTGTCATTATATAAACTAATCTATACTAATATGAATCTATAGTGGTTGTTACGGATGTTCCGTTATAACTACTGAACCATGCATCCGATAGACTTGAACCTTGGTATCCATGTAGAAAATACATGTACTTAATGGATAAGCTAATATTTATATGAGTGTTGGATTCCTTACACCACTTGCGGGGGCGTTAATGATGAGAATCTTTGTGGGGGTGAGAAATAATAATGTTAATTTTAAATGCCCAGTGAAGCGGACGGGTACAGCTAGTTTATTACTAAAAACGCTTGAACAGATTTCGCTTTAGATGTGGAAACTTTTAATATAATTTGTACTAGTTCTTATTTCAATTAAATCGGTATCAGGCACAGTTTCCTTTTTTTAAAGAGCTCTGGACTGGACCCCCTGTAACATTTCCATTTGAGCACACGATTCGGACTTATCATCTTCCCCATAAGTCTCGATTATCAATCACATAATTTCTTCTCAAGGTTCTGCATAACATCTGTGAAAGTGTTTTGGGAGTTTGCCAAGCTGTCGGGTCCGGTGTCGCCGCAGGGCAAGGTGCCCGATGAGGGTTACGAGTGGAAGGTGCTGAGCGCGTACGTGGAGACCGCGCGCGGCAAGACCATTCTCCGCGGGACCAGACCGCCCGATCTTGTCAAGTTAGTGTAGCCTGAGGATTCGCTAGTAAAGGGTCTTGTTTTATGTGTAATTGTTGATCCAAGCTCAGCTTTCAATGGTAGCGTCCACAGCTATAGCTTCTGTCGTTCAAATGGCTTCCTTTGCAGCTGTAATAGGCATGCACCCTATAGGCACAGACCGGCCGTTCCCAAAGTGAGCGATAACGCCCCCTTGTGGGCACTAGACAAAATAAGTTTGGGAGCCCCTGGATAGACCCACATCCTATTGACATGAAAGCGACATAATATTTTCATTACAATTATGAACTACTAGCGACCCGCCCTCGCTTCGCTTCGGGAACTGTAATTTATTATTGCATGGCAGACCTTTTTCCTGCTTACTTGACACTTATCGTTACATTTTGGATAATTCACACGATATCTTTATAAATTAAAGCCTATGTGTTATTTTGATGTACAAGATATAATATTGTAAAGTTTCATAAAAATTCATCCAGTAGTTTTTAAGTGAACGAGTAACAAACATACATCCATACATTCTTACAAACCTTCACGTTTTTAATATTAGTAGGATTTGTAAATTTAGTTGGTGGTAGGGCGTGTAGTTTGGGTGAGTAGCAGCATCCTGTATTTGAAGTCCTTATCTCATAGGCACGACTAAAAGATGGTAAATTTTGCGCCTTGACTTGAATCATTACACCAAGTGTACACTTCATGGCATTACTGCTCAGGTTCACGAGGGATGCGTTACTGCAATCATCTTGCGGTGCCATAGTGGCTGCTTGCATGTCTCACGTGAGGCGGCCCCCGCTGTGGACACGGAAAACTGTTGATGAGGTTGGATTCATGACTTGTGACGTATATTCTTTTGCGAAAGATGTTTAAAGAAACTTAATTGGTGGCGACTTTGATGGCTTCTTGCCCGAATGAGGCAGGTTTCTATCAGTAAGCTCGTCTAATTTGGACTCTTTAAGTGATGGATTGTTGGTAAGTTGGCTGTCATTTCTAGACCATACGTTCCAGAGAATAGTTATCATTTCAGCGTTTTTGATGTCTCTCTCTCTCTTTGCGGGGAGAGAACTCGAATCTGCCCAAGCTCTATATCTTCTGATTAGTTTCGTTGGTAGATCCAAAACCAAATAGTATTCAATGGTCGCCTAAGCCTTGGGCCAGTGACCAAGTGACCAATTTAAGGTCTGGGCTATAACATAGTGGAAAGAATTTTTTTTTAATACCCTTGTAAGCAGACGTGCATACGCCCCACCTGATGGTGTGCGAATACCGGTATGGACGTCAGCAATGCCATAAGGGCCTCCAATTGTAATTAGGTACTCTCCACAAGCCTCCACAATACTCGGATAATTGCAATTCTTTTGAGTGCACCGCCGCCACCGTAATTGTGTTTGTCAGATTATGGCGGTGGCCGGCCACTTGTTCAATGCGTCCCTCGGATCGTTGGGCTACGAATTCAGACCCGGCGAGGACGTGTTGCTGCCATTACAAGTGAGTTTTAGTTTACAGATGACATGTTTACGATATGAGAATGTCAACCGTCGCACTGAAGTCATTATGTCGATTTCTTCTTTTTTTTTATTGCGCTTGTAGGCAGACGAGCACACGGCCCATCTGATCGTGAGTGGTTACTGTCGCCCATGGACTTCAGCAATGCCAGAGGCAGAGCCAAGCCGCTGCCTACCACTCCAGTATTCTCCACGAGCCTCGTTTGAAGAAGGACTTCTGTTACTAAGAATATCTAGTAGACTCTGGGGAAGACGAATCCGAAGATGTTGAGAATGAATATATTTCTAAGAGACATAAAATCAATGTCACATTAAGAATCAAAAGAAGACATGGCTTGTCAATCCAGACGCTGTGCAATAGATATCGATGTAGTTACTTGAGTGCGCCGTGTAGGGCACAGGTGACCTACACGAAAGTCAAAAGTGTTCATTAACATGATGTAAGGAACAGTTTTTTTGTTATTGCCCTTGTAGAGAGACGAGCATACGGCCCATCTGATGGTGAATGGTTACCGTGGCCCATGGACGTCAGCAATGCCAGGGGCAGAGCCAAGCTGCTGCCTACCGCTAAGTACCGTAGATTGGGGGCAATAGGGACTAGGGGTAGAATAGGGACAAATCTTGGTTGTCACAATGCTTTTGTGAGATTTGAATAGAATTGGACTTTTATTTAGTGTTTAAGAATATTAAATAGTTTAATTTAGTCATCAGAGTTTTGTAACTCATCAAAGATATTGAAAAAGTTAATTACCTAAAAGTAAGTATCGAAAAACTCTATTGTCCTCATATGTGACCCGATTCACCCCAAAAGCCAAGGTGAACCAGGTCAAGCTAGTTTTTTTAGTTTTTGTGTTTATTTTTCAATGAACTATGTATAATAATGCATCGTATATGAAATTTTTAAGCCTCCGTAACCATTTTAATCTCAATTTTATTGGTATTTATTACCCTAAAAGAAAAACCGCTGAACATTTATGTTGGAATTGGAAAGCGTCCCGATTCCCCCCAATCTACTGTACTCAAGTGTAGCAGTGCATACTCATTATCTACCTGACGCTGAACTTATGCCCAATTTTTGCTCTGCTTTTGGGAATGGCAATAACGTAGGGGCGTAGTGGGGGGTTGGGGGGAGAGGTTCTGTCGTAACGTCAGGTCGTTAAACTAGAACGTTTTCGTGTAAGGTATTGAAACGTTTCATACTGGGCGTGAACTACGTCCGCTACGAACTGGATGCAGTGTACAGCGGGAAGCTCGCGCAGAAGGAGCCCACGGAAATGACCGTCAGGTTATAAGTTCGAATTTTTGAAATGTAACATAGAAATATTAGAAGTAGCTGTTGGGCATTTAAAATTAACATTATTATTTCTCACCTACCCACAAAGATTCTCATCATTAACGCCCCCGCAAATGGTGTAGGGAGTCCAACACTCATATAAATATTAGCCTATCCATTAAGTATATGTATTTTCTACATGGGTACCAAGTTCAGTAGTTATAACGGAACATCCGTAAAAACCACTGTAGATTTATATATTAGTATAGATTATGAAGTCGTCGTGGCCTAAAGGATAAGACGTCCGGTGCATTCGTATCTAGCGATGCAACGGTGTTCGAATCCCGTAGGTGGGTACCGATTTTTCTAATGAGATACGTACCCAACAAATGTTCACGATTGACTTCTACGATTTTAATAGAAATCAAATCCGCAAAATTATAATTTGCGTAATTACTGGTGGTAGGACCTCTTGTGAGTCCGCGCGAGTAGGTACCATCACCCCGCCTATTTCTGCCGTGAAGCAGTAATGCGTTTCGGTTTTAAGGGTGGGACAGCCGTTGTAACTATAGTGAGACCTTAGAACTCACATCTCAAGGTGAGCGGCGGCATATACGTTGTAGATGTCCAGTAATCACTTAACACCAGGTGGCCATTGAGCTCGTCCACCCACCTTAGCAATAAACAAAAAAAATAGCTAGTTGGGACCGTTTAAAGGGGATGGCCCATTTTAGGCCCAAAGCGGACAATAGATTATAGAAAAAATACTTAGTGCATTAATTTTGTCATAAATAAATATGCATTTACTTTCTTGCAAATAAGCGCCACTACAGTTTACAATAAGTAGCTTAAAAAAAGTAACTCTATTGAAAAAGCAAGGACTTTTATTTTTGCGGGAAAAATATTGCCAGCTTCAAATCCTTTTACGTATGAAGTAAATATTTTGAGTATATAAATAAAACATATAAATAAATCATTTTAAGTATTATCATTAATCAAACGATTTTAATGGATTTTATGCACATAAAATAACATCGAAGACATACCCATTGGACTTTAACTTGTAACTATACTTGAGACCTTAGAACTTATATCTCAAGGTGGGTGGCGCATTTACGTTGTAGATGTATGTGGGCTCGAGTAACCACTTAGCAACACCAGGGTGGCTGTGAGCTCGCCCACCCATCTAAGCAATAAAAAAAACTTTACTAGTATTGTTATTTAAATATGTACAACTAAAACAAAAACATAAAAAATAATGTGTACTCGTAAAAAAAAGATTAAGATATAAATCAATTATCGGTTATTTAAAAAAATAATCGATATATGAATTTCATGTAATTATTTTTCTTTATACTGACAACACTGAATTTAATCTGACTGACTGACACTTCGCTTGCTGCTTGTGGTGTTGTGCTTGCGTACAAAATGGATGTGTTTTGATTTTTCTTCGATTTATTTTACTTTTATCAATAACGTTTCATACTACGACTAAAAAACATTGTGTGAATTGTGGTTTTACCCTGACCGAGATTTAAAACCGTGTATATGCTCTCCTTTGCTATTTTTAGATGATACTAATTGTGTATGAAGATGAAGAAAATATAGATATTTAAAGAATTAAGTGTGTTTTTATACCCTATTGGATAAAAATACATTAGGAACATCTTAAACATTAAGAAAAGAAAAGTTCTTGAAGTATCTCACAATCCGACACTTATTTATATAGAAAATTAACCTCAAAACGAGTTTTTATTTTTATTATATTTTTTATAATAGTGGCGTCAATTTCAATATATTTTTTAGATATCCAATACATTTAAGAATTTGAATCAGTACATTTTTATAGTAATATTTGATGTCCATCTTGGGCCTAGCACACTATGGAGAGTGGGCAATCCCCTTTCATGTCTATTGAACTATGACGTCACTGTTTACGTGTGCTACGCTATTTTACGCTATGGACGAATGTGAGTGTCAAAATAATGCCAAAAAATGCTGGTTGCTGGTGGCTGGTTGGTGATGGCGCAACACCATCCTGCCTAAGTCTTCGATGGACGTTATATATTCCAGTTTGAAGGGTGGGGTAGCCGCAATACCACTGTCAAAATTCAACCTCGCGTCTCAAGATGTCGGCATTCGCGCCGTGCGAGCCAATTTACTCAGCCGCAGTAGACGTCCAAAATACACTGGCGACCAAAATATATCATCGCTTAACTAACAATAGCAATATTGGCATAATCTTAGTATTGACAAAAATCGTAAAGATCTTTCAGCTGTTACGCGCTGGGGTTCGGAATTCGCTTGTTCCGCTTCGCTTCAGGGGTTCCGTTCGCTGTTTCGCTTCGAGTAGTTCCGATTACTAACTGACTGCGTGTCATCTCTGCAACGCTTTTATAGCCGATACCACATCCCTAGAATTATCGAGAATATTCCACACATCTCTAGTAGTAGTTTCCGCTATCTGATAATAGATGGCGTTGTACTTCTCGAGCGTTCTAGGTGCTACAAGTCCTTCGATATTCGTTCGACTATTCGGCGATAGATTGCGTTACTCTTTCCCGGCGTAACACTGCCTTTGTCAGACGCACGTGACTACTCCGTAATTGGCTATGATTACATGCAAATTTTCTCAATACAATAAAGTCTATATAATAAATATATATATTTATGATCTTCTAATCAGTTTGGGCCAATGAAACAGTTCACGCAAACTTGATTTTTATTCCGTCTTTCTTATTACAAGTAATTAAAATACGTCTTCAGAGTTACAGAGTCAAACATTCGTTCACCATCTCTCTTACCTTCTAACAGGACATCTCCTATCTCTCTCACTCAGTTATATTCCATATCTGACATTCCTCTATACATACCATTACCTACATTCCTACATAAAACTAGAAGTATGTGTTCTATTGTCTCATCGTAAAAAATCTTCTTCTTCTTAATTTTTTTTTGGCTCTGGCACGGTTTGTGCATTAGCCAGTGTCAAGTAATAAGACTTTTATAATTTGCCGTTTTAATTATATACAGTTTATGGAATTAAAAAACGAACGAAACCCAAATGAATCGACTGACAACTGATCAACAAACTTTTCTTCCTTTGTGATTTTAAATTTAATAAAAAACAATAGATCGTTGCATTGTATTTAATTATGTTATTTGCATATAATGTATAAACCAGTTTTCTTTTTAACCCCTTTTTTTTTTTTTTTTTTTTTTTCGGGTAGAGGGCCGAACCTCCTACGAGGTCCCCGCGCAAATGGGGCGCGCGGGGTATGTGAGACTCAACGATCTGCATGGTGTTGTGAGCAGACCGCGGGCCCAAGGATTTTAGAGCCCACCCACTAAACGACTCCTGTGCACTCTTACACCCGACGTCCGATCCCCTCCGAGGTCAGAACCCGGATGAGGTAGGGGGGCTACCGCGGTCAACACTACAACCAGACGGCGCGGCTCACCCCAAGGACGCCCAGCCGACGGAGCCTTCGAGGCGAATCGAAGGCTCTGAAACGTCGGCCGTCTCGGTACGGCAGCCCGTCGGGCCGCCCAGACGGNATTAATTTCTATTCATCTCTGCACTGACGCCCTTCTTTCGCGTGTCCTCTTTCACACAGCTCATCCAAGCCTTTTTAGGACTCTCCGTTCTAACGGGATCACGGTATCGGGGTGATCCTAAAAGTATCACTGCCTATTTCTACCGTGAAGCAGTAATGCGTTTCTCGTTGATAAATTTGATAGCCGTTGGACAATATGTATGAGTTTGACCTTATGTCACAAGCATTTAATATCACTTTGGCTGCTAATTCATCTATTTCAAATAATAGAAAACATTTTTCAGAATTCATAAAATGATATGGCTCTTGTGAACTCTTCCAGAGATGTAAACCTGCAAATATACCAGTAATACTAGAATCTCTTCAAGTTCTCTCGGCAATAGCATTCCACCATTTACAAGAGCTACTTCACCCTCATATGCTTTTACTTGGAGACGTCCTCTGTGAGATGTTGCAGCACGAGCACCAAGACGTGGTTGTGCACGCAGCCAAGACGGTCAGCGTAATTGGTGATGCCGTCCAGAAATTAGGTAACGTGCGAAAGGCACACGTATTTAAATCATTTAAATATTTCTTTGTACTGAAAAGTCTAACGCGGGTAACGCACTCGATAAAGTCACGCGATTACAAAATGAAATGGTATTTTTTTAAATAAACATTTTGTGATATTTGTCTACACACATGTTGTATTCACGATTAAGGAATACCATTAAGTGATAAAAAAATGAGCTCGCATATCTTATAAACTTTCTGGTGTCATTATTATTCTGGTGGTATTTAATAAAGTGGTATAGTTCGTAGGTATTCTAATCTCACATGGGTCGATACCAACATTAAAAAAAAAAGATACGACGTCCAGCATATTCTTGTCGCAAAGAAGTTATGTGGGATAGCATTTATACAATACAACCGAAATTTCGACCTCATGTCTCAAAGTGGGTGGCGGCATTCACGTTGCGACGTCTACGTTTTTTGGTAATCGCTTTACATCAGATTGAACGCCCGTTAGGTGTATTAAATCCGGAGAAAAATCAGTAATTGCATTTTAAATTATGACTCACAGAGCAAACGGATCAAGCTCCACCCTTGACCCACTGCGTGCAAATGTGGGAGAAACTGATAACTCCATTATCGAACGTGCTGCAATCGAACGAGAATTCCCCGGCGAAGGCGGTCGCTTGCGATTGTATAGCGAACATCGGGGAGAAATCCTTCAAGGAGTTGCCGGTACGATTGAACATTGCATTGTATGTCTTTGTATGTCGGTAGTCGAAAAAAAAATTTTTTTTAAGTGAAACTTCTTTGGAATTGTGATTTCAAACTCGATGAAACGAAAAAATAAGTCCATAGAGACACAAACACATAAATGTATAGGATTCAGCCGACGAGAGAATGAGATAGAACACATTAGACGTTCTCGGTCTCCTCTTTGTGCGACTCTTCGTAACATCCTCACTATCGTCTACTAAACATTGTCTATATGTATGCTCCTGTGTAGTAGGATAGTCAGTATATCTATATCTTATTTATATATAAATAAGTTTCACTTCTATCGTGTGTGACTTGCACAGACACACACTTTTTTTAACTTTTTATGCAGACCTTAATACGACCTACCTGATAGTGAGTGATTACTATCGCTCATGAATGTCAGCAATGTCATTCAATGCAGGGCAGAGCCAAGCCACTGTCTACCGCTAAACTTGTAATAATTAATTTTACTTTGCTGATTGATATTCATGACGTATGATAACAATTTACTTAACATTAGCCAAATACGTTTCCGCTTTTCTGGCCGATCTTCGATTTAACTTCAGAAGATCCCGCTAACCTAATCTGAAAATTTGATCAAATTTGATCCAGTCGCTCCAGAGTCTTTAAGAACATACTCACATCGACTCGCCGGTGGATGGACCAAACTAAAACCAGCGTTGGACTTCCCTCAACTGAGTCCAAGATGATGTCGAGCAGGGAGATATGACCACTCTGTCAAGAGTGACACGATTGAGAAACATATCACTGCTGGACATAGCCCTCCCCCAAAGCTCGCCACTGAACCCGATCTTCGGTTTTACGCATCGACATTTTTTTTTATGATTGAAGTATTACTGGTAGCCCGGAGGCCTTTCCAGTTTCACCAGGACAGGTGCGCGGGCAAAGGCTCAGCTAGGAGGGGTGGGATTTGCTAACAGCTGCCCGAGCGCCTTCGAAGGAAACCTAACAACTCAAGAGCATCTGCTTCGCGAATGAGCATCCAGTCACTGCCAGCTGCCCTGCGCAGGTCGTCGCTCCATCTAGCAGGAGGGCGTCCTACACTACGTTTGCCGGTTCCATAGAAACATATATAGATTACCAATATGTTTTATGCAGAGACGTTTTCAACTGCTGTGCTGCGCTTTACTGGTGGGATCGTGCAGCGACGAAGAGGCGTCGGTCCGAGCCGCGGCAGTACGCGCCTTGGCCATGGCGGTTATGTTCAAGACATTAAGAGAGGTCAGTGACCCTGTCCTTCAACTAAACCTTGAAATTCGGTAACTTTGTAGAGGTTAATTAGAAAAAAGGCTACGATCAATTGTTTTGTTTTTTTAGAACGGATTAGTAGGTATTTTAAAATTGTATTTTGCGTCAGATGGGTGAACAAGTCCACTACCCGTTTGGTTTAAGTTGTTTAATAGTGTTCATAGACATCATATAATGAATGCCGCCATTTGTTTTGAGACTTGAGGTGGATGTCTCAATTATTATATAACAGCTGACGTAACTGGTTCGCGGCAGCATTAGGCCAGTAGTGGTACCTACACAGGGTCACAATACGTGCTACCACCAGTAAATACTGGTAGGCGATCGCAGTCTGCTGATGCTGATACAATTAGAGCATGCTTCCATTTTCTCTCTCTCTTCTCTATTTATCCTACATGGTAGTGGGGTCAGCTTTCCTTATGCTACTCCTCCACTTAGCTCTGCCTTTGACATCATCATCAATAACATTGTATTCCGTCTTGTCCTTCAGCAGAGATAATACTTCCATCCGTTCTCCAGATAATCCCTTAGTCGTCTGTATCTATAATTACCAGAAAGAGAATGTTCTAGACCGACATAACAGCCAGTAATTTAATTACCAAAATCGTTGCGAACATTTCACTGTTAAAACAATTGAACGAACGACACAGATATGTTTTTTTCGCTATAAATAACTCGATTGGTTTTAGGACATACACTTCGTAAGCGACTGCGGCGAGAACATTCTCAGGGCGTTGGCGGAGCCGACTCTAGTGGTCAGAGCGAAGGCAGCTTGGGCTTTGGGTAATCTAAGTGATGCTCTCGTGCTAAACTTGTAAGTTGGGTTTTTTATTTATTTTTTATTGCTTAGATGGGTGGACGAGCTCACAGCCCACCTAGTGTTCAGTGGTTACCGGAGTTCATGGACATCTACAACGTAAATGCGCCACCCACCTTGAGATATAAATTCTAAGGTCTCAAGTACAATTATAACGGCTGCCCCACCCTTCAAACCGAAACGCATTACTGCTTCACGGCAGAAATAGGCAGGGCGGTGGTACCCACACCCATGGCGGCGTGAAGCAGTAATGCGTTTCGGTTTGAAGGGTGGGGCAGCCGTTGTATTGTAAATACTGAGATGTTACAACTCATGTCTCGAAGTGGTTGGCGCATTTACGTTGTAGATGTCTATGAGCTCCGGTAAGCACTTAACGCCAGACGGGCTGTGGCACGTCCACCCATCCAAGAAATAAAAAAAATCTTATCGTTTCGGGATTTTGTGAATAGCATTATTAAAATCAATATATTATTATAGTCCTTGTAATAGGATATCTCTAATAAATAGACCACTGACTGATACAAATTATTATTAAGTCGTTCGAAATAGTTCAGTATCTGTAAAGCAAAGTGAAAATGCGATTTTAAAGTATACACAAACAGACACTTGTTTTAACCGCCTCTGACCAGTTGCATCGATACAGTGGGATCTGTTTTGTACATTAATCTGTTCTAACAGGCACGAACCGGATGCTGACGAAGTCGACGATGACCTGCTGGTCCGGCTGCTCGAGGTCAGCATACATTGCGCCGTAGATAATGATAAGGTAAAAGTAAACAATTATTTTTGCAAATCCGATCTAGTGCGGACAATAGTAGATTGTGAAGAAGCTTCAGGGTTCTCTGCGCCGTATGACCCGTGGGTAGGGATGATTGTGAGATAGCAAGAGTGGGTACCACGATCGTGTCCATTGCGCTCCATATTATAATTGAGACTTTGACCACGTGTCTCACGTACTCAGGTAATCGAAATATCCTTTCTCGGTTCGGAGAAACATATCGATTATTCGAAATTTCTAGAATTTCAATCAACTTCTTTTCTACGGGTAGTCGTTTTTTATTTTATTGCTTCGGTGGGTGAACGAGCTCACGGCCCACCTGGTGTTAAGTGGTTAGCAGAGAGCCCATAGACATCTACAACGTACATGCAGAATTTGCGATTTTTTTGTTACTTACTATATATACGATATTGACTTTCCACAATGGAAGTCAACTGTGAACACCATGACACAATCATGCCAGTACTGAATGATTTATCTAGTTAATTAGGTTTTAGTAACCTTTGTCAGGATTAAACAAAAAAAAATTTTTTTTTTTGTCAAATTTTTATTTACCATAAAGACTTATATTCTGATCTGTTATTTTTATAATCTTTATTCGCTAGAAAAATTAATCATAGCGCAGACGCCTAATACGTTATTATTTTGACAGAGCGTCAAAGACAGAATCCGTAGGGTCATAGTTTATCTATATAATAGTATTTGTCATTTTATCATTTGCACGCGTTCTCTGATGTTTTGGCGCGTGGCATAATGTTATTGATCCAGTATATTAGGTCACGGTGAATATATTAAAGATTTATATATTTAGATGGACGTTCAAGTAAGTTGTAAGTGTAATGGAATTTAAAGGAGCAAATATATTGCCTTTCTTCATCCCAGTGGTTTAACTGTGGAACTAGCCTAACAACTAATCTAATATTTAAAAAAAAAAGAAAGACATGCCCGCTGAGTTTCTTGCCAATTCTTCTCAGGACGGAGGCTAGTTCTTGTGAATTGGCGGTAGTTCTTTTGACGTTCAATAAGTATGTAGTTTCATTTATGTTGAATAATTTTTTTTTGATTCGATTTGATTTGATTTCGGATCCCTAAAATAAATACATTTGTTTGTGTTGTAACTTTGTACTGTTGTTGGTAGGTCGTCGAAGTCATTAACATTAACAATATAAATACTACGAAAGATAGAGAGAAAAATTTAGAGGAGAGGCTGTACGTGTGTTCGTTTATAATGCATGCGATCCGGCGTCTTTTATTCGATCGTGTCTGAAACGTTGATGATGACTGTTCTTGATAATTTGGGATGTTTCCGTCATTATTTTTTTTATTTATTGTTTACCAACATGTTATACATCAGCACAGGACATTACAAGTAACATATACGTTCATCTCACATTAAATTCTAACACAATTACAGTTACCGACTGTATGCATTGGTAAATATAAGCGGTTCATTGTATGATACTACAAGAAATAAAATAATAATAAAATAACATTACATGAAAATTTAACACTAAGACATTCATAGGACTAGCCGGCTAGACCAAGTGATTGCCGGAGCCCACAGTACGGCGTGAAGTCTTAATGTCAGTTTTTTATTACAACAGTTGTCTCGCCCTTCAAACCGAAACGCATTACTGCTTCACGGCAGAAATAGGCAGGGTGGTGGTACCTACCCGTGCGGACTCACAAGAGGTCCTACCACCAGTGATTACGCAAATTATAATTTTGCAGGTTTGGTTTTTATTACACGATGTTATTCCTTTGCCATGGAAGTCAATCGTGAACATGTGTTCAGTGTGTGTGTTAATTAGAAAAATAGGTATCTTTGTGATTTGAACACCGTTATAGCCGCATCGCTCGATACGAATCCACCGGGCGTCTTATCCTTTAGGCCACGACGACTTCAGAGAAAAGTAAGAAATATACATAAACCATGAACCCTTATAATACAACCCAGGTCAAGCAGAGTGCGACACGTGCCCTTGGAAACCTCTTACGTTTGATAAAGAGTGATAATTTACATCGGAATCCGCAACTAAAGACCTTATGCGAAGTAGCAATAGGGAAGCTATTGGACTGCGCTTGCAAGGTCGCGAACATGAAGGTCCGCTGGAATGCTTGTTACGCGCTGGGGAATGCAATGAAGAACGAGAATCTCTTCACCTGTTTCAATGGATGGCAGGTATTTATAATAGCACTTAGGAACATATTTAATGTCCAGAGATTTATTCCGCAATTTAGATTTACATTGCGGGCTCACTACTCCCTACTGTGAGATCGTCCATTTACATAATAAAAAAATAAAATAAAAAAAATATGGTAATGTCAGTTTACGGACGGTAGTTTTACGTGATAACGTCAGTAATAGAACTATTGATAGCTCTGACGTCACGCGTGAATTGAAATAAATGTGTCACAAGCCAACGCTTAGGCCGATTGTTTTTTTTTATTGCCCATTTTAGTCAGACGAGCATACGGCCCACCTGATAGTGAGTGGTTACCGTCGCCCATGGACTTCAGCAAGGCTAGGGGCAGAGCTAAGCCGCTGCCTAAAGGCAGAGCAAAGCCGCTGCCTACCGTTGTGCCTCTCTATCGCTTTTTCTGCGCTCTAGCTTGCACGCTCAGGCGGAACGTGACAGTTTTCGTGCGTGGCCGGTCATCGTTCTCGTCGAACCCGTCGCTTACAGTAATTGAGTAAATTAACCCACAGACACAGCCCACTGAGCTTCTCGCCAGATCTTCTCAGTGGGTCGCGTTTCCGATCTGGTGGTAGATTCGCGAAGCACGGCTCTTGCTAGGGTTCGTGTTAGCAACGTCGTCAAGATTGACCCCGTGAGCTCAACTACTAGTTAAGGTTACGCTGAAATAGCCTCTCAAAGCTTAGGTAGGAAAAAAAAAACTTGCGTGGAGCCGTGTTAATCGATTTTTAAGACGTTATCACTTCAGAAATGTTTGGAAGCTAAATACAGCAAAGATTTATTTGCAGAGTGAGGTGTTCTCGAATCTATGTAAACTAACAAAAGAGTGCAAGAATCTCAAGGTTCGTATAAACGCGGCGGTCGCGTTACGGGCACCGCGCTCGCGAATATCGTACGCGGCGAACTTCGCGCCGATTTGGCGAGGAGTCATGGCCGCCATGGAGAACGCTGTTAACGTCGACGATTTCACTGAATACAAACACAAAGATAACCTTGTTGAACAGGTGAGAGAAGTAGTTTTTTAACGCTCATTAAATTCCCTTTCCATACTGTTGATTTATTATAATTATGTAGGTGAGTAGAGAAGATCGGTAATTTTTGGTAAATTCACATTGGCACACTAATTTTATTTTAAAATAAAAAAAATATAAATGACAGATAAGATTGACATAACGATGTGACGACAGTTTTTTTTGAAAAATTAAAAGGTTTTGTCGTTCAACTAAATATCCACTAGATTTTAAATCAAATAGTTATTTCATATTTTATGTAAACGGTATACATTTATCTAATTATTGTATGTATATATTTTCTATAATAATATTTTGTCAATAGTACACCCGAACATACCTGCTATATTTTTATATTTTCCAGAATTTCTCTAAATTAAACGGTTGTCTAAAAGAGATCACTTTTAGCGATAAGACCGCCTATTGTACAAATCTATCTGCTTTTTGACTGTTTTTTAATGTAAATTGTGTTTTGGTGTGCAATAAAGTGTATTCTCTCTCTATCCTTCTCTCTAAATGAAGCAACTTTAAGAAAATTAAACTTCGCTCCTCGATTTCCTCCAGGAAAAAATATGTCTCTAACACCTAATATAATACCTAATATAATACGTAATATAATATCTACTGGTATGATTGGTTTAATTTTCAGCTCTGCGTGACACTAGCTCACTTGTGTTGCCAGCTCACGCCATCGGACCTAACCGATATCTTAGATCACCTGGTGTTTCACTACGACTGCGCTAAAGCAGTCTTCACGCAGGTCTTTCAGCGTTTACCGCCGGAGAACGCTTCGTGCCTCCGCATACTGCAAGCCGCTAAATATGTCACCGTTGATCTAGTCGCTTCGAATGACGCGCAATCACAGTCATTGAGTTTACTACAAGATATATTTATATTCGATTTTTGATTTAATCGAAAGTTTATTTATTTCTTACACTGTAAGGAAAGGTAGATTGGTGTGGATGACGCGTCTCGCTTTTAGGGAAACCGATCGAACACTAATCTACAGTAATATCTGCGTTTAATCTATACTAATATATAAATCTACAGTGGTTTTTACGGATGTTCCGTTATGACTACTGAACCATGCATCCGATTGACTTGAAACTTGGTATCCATGTAGAAAATACATGTAATTAATGGATAGGCTAATATTTATATCAGTGTTGGACTCCCTAGTAATAATGACAATAAATAATAATGTTAATTTTAAATGCGCAGCGAAGCGGGCGTGTACAGCTAGTATTGTTATAAAATACTGGTAGTAGGACGTCTTGTGAGTCCGCCCGGGTAGGTACTACGGTACTTGTTTATAGGTTTAATGTTCAACCTTCAAAATCAAACAATTTTAATTTAGTAACATTTAGTTCTTCGTTTAATATTGCAAGTTTCAATGTACAAATGTACTGAGCGATTATTAATGAATATGATCGATTTGGTAAATAATTGATATAAAAATTGTAGTGAAACAAGGAAAGTGCCTTTAATCGATTTCAAGCAATACTTCTATATTGCTAATGTTTTTTTTCTTGCTCTTATTATAAGTGGACAAGATCACGGCCCGCCTAGTGTTATGTAGTTACCAGAGGGAACCCATAGATATTTACCCATTTATCCCCTTTTTAACTGGTGATAGGATCTCTTGAGTCCGCATGAGAAGGTACCACCACCCCGCCTATTTCCGCCGTGAAGCATTAACGCGTTTCGGTTTGAACGGTGTGGCAGCCGTTGTAACTATACTGATACCTTAGAAATCATATCTCAAGGTGGATGGCGCATTTACGTTGTAGATGTCTATGGGCTCCAGTAACCACTTAACACCAGATGGGCTGTGAGCTCGTCCACCCATCTGGGCAATAAAAAAAGAAGATAAAAACAATGTAAATGCCGCCAACTGACCTTGAGACATGAGTTATAAGTCTTAGTACAACGGCTGTCTCAAACCCTTCAAACTGAAATACATTCCCACTTCACGGCAGAAGTAGGCGGGGTAGTGGTACCTACCAGTGCGGGTTCAAAAACCTATCCGTACGGCTTCAAATTGTGATGTCGGGAAACAATGAGACTACGGTTGACTTTCTACTTTATTGTTGTAGTAAAAATATAGTAAGAAATGTAATGATCAGTAAGTAAAAATTATTTTTGATTAAGATAAAAATAGACTCATGTTTGTGGCGCGACTTATCTAAAGCACGTAAAATTGTTTACTATATCATATAATATTGCTTATGTAATAAAGTCTAATTAGAGAAATTCTATTATATACATAATATTTATATGAAATAAACGTTTTATACCTACTGTTCTCGTGTTTTCTTCCTCATCAATAAACAAATTTATTTATTTCAGTTTGTTTTTTAAAGATAAATGGAATGCGTGAAGTCATTTTCGTTTTTACTAATGAGAAACAACTAAAAAAAAACGCCATATTAATTTTTAATCCAAGAATACAACATTTGCCTTACATCGAGGCCCAATAAATAATACAGAGGTTGAAATTTGTGAAACCGAAAAATCTATTTAGTTATTATTATTACTTTTTAGAAGAAAAAAAATCACATGCATTAGTATACATATAATGTATTATTTTATTCACATCCAAATAAAGTTAAGCCCAGTTAAACTATAGCAAAAATTGAGTTGCTGTATAAAGAGAAACATCATTTAAAGGTATTGCTTCACCAGTTTTTATGTTTTTTTTATATTTCAATATTCAAAAATGTTTTAATATTTCTATGTTTCAATATTCAAAATACCATTTATGTCACCTGTATATCATATTATAACCTCTTTAAGATTTATGTCATAAATCATTCATAGGTTACATACATATTACAAAAATAACGTTACGATAATTGTTACACACGGGTAGGTACCACCACCCTGCCCATTTCTGCCGTGAAGCAGTAATGCGTTTCGGTTTGAAGGGTGGGGCAGCCGTTATAACTATACTTGAGACCTTAGAACTTATATCTCAAGGTGGGTGGCGCATTTACGTTGTAGATGTCTATGGGCTCCAGTAATCACTTAACACCAGGTGGGCTGTGAGCTCGTCCACCCATCTAAGCAATAAAAAAATAATAATACAAAAGGCCCCGATCCGATGCATCGTACTCCGTATAAATTATGTACATCAAAAAATCGATTGGCTTATCTAAAGCTTCTTTTCCCTATTGACAATTTGGTAAACATGTAACTGATAAGGGCTAACGTATTATCATTTGCGTGGGGTCTAGATTAGGGTTAAAGCTTTTATGTTTTAGTGTAGGTAAATTATTAGTTTTATTAGTGTTTTAGTAAAATTCAAAATCTTTAGAATTCGAGAGTTCCTCATTTCATCCATCAGACACGGATCTTACAATATCGCTCCAACTGTCATAATTTTTTAAACCAAAACCTTGCCTTATAAACATAGATAGAAAGTTCGCACAAGGACTTGTTTTTTTTATTTTTATTGCTTAGATGGGTGGACGAGCTCACAGCCCACCTGGTGTTAAGCGGTTACTGGAACCCATAGACATCTACAACGTAAAGGCGCCACACACCTTGAGATATAAGTTCTAAGGTCTCAGTATAGTTACAACGGCTGCTCCACCCTTCAAACCGAAACGCATTACTGCTTCACGGCAGAAATAGGCGGAGCGGTGGTACCTACCCGTGCGGACTCACAAGAGGTCCTACCACCAGTAACAAAGTTCCCTGGCAATATGACTTTCGGACCTGTGCAAAAGTCAAGCGTTTTAATGTACCTACGTGTCGGGCTGTATCATTGGTTAGGCTCCGGTATGTACACAACATACCACAAAGGTCTGCTTCGACAGTAATAAAAAAAAAAACACTGCAGTAGATTTCTGTCCAGCTATCTATGTATCATTGTACCTAGTATCTACTTGTAACATAGATCTAGAGATAACGAATTACCCCAAAGAGTACTTACAGTAGTAACTGGTATTTGAGAGAAGACAGATTAATGAAGTTATGAAAGGCAAAAATAGAAGAAATTTGACATTTTGTGGTAAACTAAATGACACAAACGTAATATCTCAAAATTAGAGTTTCTTCAATTAATCAGGCACATTTCGAAGAAATGTCTCATCAGCGCGTGACTTACATGTATACTATCGATTTTACTTATCTGAAAAATAGATATGTGATGAATAATAAAACATGACTGTCATGAGGAGAGATAAAATGAAGCCTAACTTTTATAATTTAAATATATAGATAACAGCTTTTATAAAAGGAACACATTACAAGTTTTATAGACTACATATAGAAACTATATACTACGGCTAATAGATAAATAATACACTTAATATTTAATATATATGATCTGTCTTTTTTCCGGGCCGGGGGCCGAATCTCTTATGTGTTCCGGAATACCCCGCTGGGTCAGAACCAGCCTGCCGAGTCGGAACGTGATCGCCGACCGGGTTGCTCTTTAACATTATGCTTGGCGACGAAAGCGACGACGGCAATGCGGACTGCAGCCGACGATGCGCCGTCCCATCCTCCCGGTGACGGTATGCTAGAGTGACGATAGCGTGCGGTCCAACTTCGACCCCCTCAGTTCGCCCTGTGACCATTACTTGGAGGAGTCTGCCTCCTCACAGAGGCTCCTCCGACCACCCGGCTTGGTGGCGGCTGCACGGCACCGAGAGGGAGGAAGAGCTCTCCCTCTCCCGTTCCGCCGCCTCCTTCTGCGAAATGGTGGAATCGCAGAAGTCAAGCATAGCCTGGAGACAAATCAACCTAACCTAACACTAGCTCTAGCAAGAGCAATGCTTCGCTGAATCTACCACCGGAACGGAATCGCAAAATATATGTGAAAACATTTGAAATAAACCAAACCGTTAAGCATATGTTTAAATTATTGTGGAGTTACTTTCTCTGATGACTTTCCGTCTTGTATTTATTCAAGTATAAACGTTTCACAAATATCATTTATTGTCATAAATAAATTCTGCCATTTCTGTAGATCATTCAGTGGACAAAAATAAGTTGTTGGAATCAAAAAGCTTAAGATGTGAACCTTCTTGATAGTGTTTGAACCTACAGTTTTTTTTATCCCTAATTCCACAAAGCACAACATTCATATAAAATTAGTAATGTCCAAAAAGGTCCACTAGGTTTTATATTCAAAATAAAAATTTCACGTGACCGAAAACTATCTATTAATAAATAAATTTTACCCAATTAGTGAGAGTCGAGAGGGCATTGACGCACAACGAGCGCACTATGTTCACCTTACTGATATGATTGACATTTTTAATTAATCGCGTATTCTTAATTAATACAAACTTATTTTTAGATCAATAGTAGTAGTCGTGGAGACAGTTTCAGACAAACAAACATTTCCATTGCACGATAAGATAAAACTCCAATGTCTCGAATAACAAACCTTCATTCGGGCTTTGCAATAAATATTATTATAACGTTGATAATATCAGGAGGAATCCCGGAAATTTGTAAAATTTTATTAATAAGTAATCCATTACATGGTTTCATTGAAATAGTTTTTGTGTCTCATCTGATGTCAGAGAGCTTCTTGCTCTTATCCCGCTATGTGAAGTTGGCACATGATAAGGTCCTTTTTTTCCATTGGGGCCTATCATACGTCATCTCTTCCCCTATTCCCTTCTTTCGCATATCCTCATTTCACATACTTACCATTGATTATAACCATTGATATTAGACAGGTACCGTAGTCCATAGACAACATTTGAAACCCATTGACACTAGATGTTTCAATTACATTTGTACTACCGTTGCTATATTCTACAAAATGCATGGTTACGGCTTTATTTGGATGATGGGACAGTGCTTAATAGTGTAGGCTTGTCACATGTCCAACAGTCCTTGAAGCCAGGTAAGAAAATTGATGACGATACTGACACTAAGGCTGCACGATACAATATTGAGTAACATAACAAGCGTCAAATGCGTCCACTTGCTCGACGTATTCCTCGGTTGCGCTCTGAGGCGCTGATACGCGGGTTGTTGAGCGACAAAAAGCCTTTAAGCCGCTTTCAGACTACGCTATAATATAATAGCATATAGTATAAAGCTCATACATAGCACGACAATATCGCACACCATACATTGTTATGGACAC